CTTATCACAGCAGGTGAAGCTTGGGGCAGAAAAGCCACCTTGCCTGAATCCACATGAAGCCTGTGTTTTTTCCACATGAACCCAATTCCCTGAATTTGGGGAAGTTGAAGCCAAGTGCTGGGTGGGCGCTGTAGTTCCTGGCTTCACTGTCCATGTTACCTGTGCTCTCCTCCTGCAGTGGTTAGGAACTGTCACAAGTTGATAGCAGACCCCTCCCCAGCCAGCTGGATGCTTAAATTCTATCCATATTTCAGTATTTGTAGGATTATACTGTCAGAATCATCAAGCTTGTTGCTGAACAAAAAAAGGGACTTGAAGTGTGATATCATGATAACGTTTGGGTATTTTTAATTAAGATTAAATATTTTCCTGCTGTGTTCGTACACACTGCAGTTTTGGTTTTTGATCAGAGCACGCACATGGCTTAGAATACTCTTGCCCACGTAGCTTTGCAAAAAGTCACTCGGTGTAACAAAAGGGACAGTGAGGATGCTGAGACTGTTGGTCCTGACTCAGGTGCAGGACAGGTCCCTGTTCCGTCTGGATTGGCATACTCTAGGAGGAAAATCTGTGCCCTGCATCTGGCATGTAGGAGAGGTGCTGAATTAATTAATTCAATCCTTCCATTCTTGCAGAAATTGCAGCAACACAGCTGTAAACTTTCAGAAGCCAAATGTTTAATTCCACCAAACATTTCCCAAAACTCCACTTGCTGAACTCTGTGTTGTTGTTGCCCCGTGAGCATCACTGGGGAAAGTCCTGCCCACCAGGGCCTGTGCAATGCAGCATCACCCCACAGTTATTGCACAGTGTTGTGTTTTTGTAAGAAAAAATGTTATTTCAAAATCATCGTTTACCGTGAGCTGGAATTGTTGTTTTTTTCTTGCTCTGCCCTGTTTATAGCCTCTGTTTCCTGCCCCTGCCTTTCCCACCCCAGGGAGTTGCTCTGTGAGAACAGTCCTGCCTAGAAACGCTGGGCTCTTGTTGATGCTGACTCGGGCAGGGGCAGTCGATCCTTTCTCCCTGCAGAGCTGCAGCTCCATCAGTGCTGGGGGCAACTCTGAGAAACTGCACTTCTGTGCGCTGAAAACCTCGTGGCACAACCTGGGCAAGACCCCACGGCAGCCCTTGGAAAGCTGGTCAGACCTGAGTAATTACATATGCTGATGTTTCTTAAAGTTTGACAGCTCAGCAGACTTGGGTTTTGGGGTTTGCTTTTTTTTTAATTTTGTTTTTTGTGGCTTGGGGGTTTTTTGGGTTTTTTTTTAAACACTTTTCCCCTTATGTAGAAAACCCTTGTGTATGTTTGTTCCCTGCAGGATGGGATAGTAGTACAGAATATATCCATGTAAAAATTTCTGATGCTGAGGGTAAGGGAGAGGGGTTTCTTTTGAAGACGCCCATGAAGAATTTCAGAGGTTCAGGTGAGAACACTGTAGCCACATGAAAGATGGACCCTGTGTACCACATGCCTGTGTAGATAGAGAACTCTCTGCTGAATCCATAGGACTCTTTCACAGGCAGCAGAGCAGAGGGGGAAAGTGCTAGCTGGGAAAACTTCAACAACAGAAATACACAGTCTCTTCTAAAAGCACTGAACCATGGGACCTGCACAGTTCAAAAGCGCCAGTGGAAATTGCACAACTTTCTGGATGTTGACTGTGACGTCATGCTGCTGTTGATTCTAGGAGAAAACAAACCCAAGCAATTCTTTCAGGGCATTTGGCTTTGTTCCTGCATTTTATATTTAGTAGTTGGTAAGTACGTCAGCAAAAACACATTCATTCAACTTTGAAAGATCAGAAGTGACAGTGACATCAAGGAAGCAGAAACGGGTGGGTGTGTGTTGCACCAAGGCCATGCAAAGATCAATTATTCCACTTTCCAGATCTTTTAAAGCTTTATTTCATGAGGAGTTAACTCCTTCACAGCATGTTTGAGCTCTCTGGTGTTTAATTTGGTGTTGGCTTCTCTGCAGTGGCCCACTGTGCCTAGTCACCTCACACTCCAGGGAGGGGAAGGGTTGTGTGCAAGGAGACAATACCCTGGCATAGCTCTGCAGGGCAGGAGCTAATGCTCTCCAGAGAAATCCTAGCAGTTGGATTTACTTAGATTTATTTCCATAAATGTAGCAGTGAGCATGGGTGCCATTCCCTGCGTGAGGAATGGCACGTAGTGCAGGGATGCAAACTTCCCTGGGACATTTCTTTCTAAAAACAGCGTTTTTAGGGACAATAGAGTCAGAACCACCCCCCCTCCAGGGAGATGGAACCTGGCAAGGGATTTGAGTGCTTTTAGAAAACATGTTAAATAGCGTATTTCTAAGGAGGAGTTGAAGCATATGTCAAACACAGGCTTCTCTTTACCATGGACAGAGGGTAACCGAGTTCCCGAATGTGCACAATTTTTCTTCATGTTTCCAGCTAGTGCACAATACAGAACTGCTGGGGAGGAGCAAAATAAGGTGTTCTTTGTCCCTTGAGTTCAGCATGTCACCAGTTCCCAACATAGATGTAAATGGCTTTTAACTACAACATTTGGTATCTCCTGAACTTCTAGTGCTATGCAGCAAAAGCCCATAAGCTCACTAAAAATCAGTTTAGCAGTTTTTTTCCTTCCCTTTAACAGAAAACAATTGGAAGAAATCGTCTTTCATAACACAATGTTTTCTTGGAGTCTTTCTTATTGATTTAAAATAAATTTTATTTCTCTGTGAATTGAAAGGAAATCCTCTTAAAATAAATACCTCCTTTTTGAAAGCAGGCCTTGGGGAGGAAGGTGAGAAAGTTGCTTGGGTGACAGTGCCACAGCAGAGCAGGAGAAGGCTGCACAGGGAGGGGACGGCCAGCTGCAGTGGCTCCAGGGGCCCTGCTCTGCCAGTCGGAGGGGACAGCCCGCAGTGTCCCCGGGCTGGGAGGAGTGGGAGGAATGCCAGAGGTGCCTGGCAGGGGACAGCTGTGGGGCCAGGGCTGTGCGTGTCCCCAGGACACGGCAGGGATGTGGCGGTGCGCGTTGCCAGAGCCCCATCTGCAGGCGGCCGCCGCCCGGGCACCCCGCGCAATCTGGGGTGAGGAGCGGCACTGACATCGTTACGAGAATTAAATAAAGTGCCTCAGAAAACATGCCAAACCCCCGTTCCGCAGCTGCCCGTTCGACAGAGGTCAGTTGTCTGTGAGGCCCAGATGTTTGGTACCTCGAGAGCTTTGACGATGCTGATTTGAGTGCCGAGAGAGTTCCAGACCTGCTGAGGGTCTGACTGCCCCAGAACGCAGCAGCAGCGGCAACTACAGCGAGTCACTTCGTTTTGTCCTTGATTTTGGTAGCAAGATAAAATAAATTATACATGGGTGTTCAGGATAAAATAGATAAGTTAAAAAAAGGAAGAGGTAGTGTGTGCTGTGGCAGGTTAAGAGCACAGCTTGTGCTGTTTTCAAGCTTTGTGGCTGCTCTTAGAAGGCGTAAGGAGGTGGGATACCAAAGATTTTTCCCTCTTGGGATATCCATGCAAGTCTTTTTCCTGTCCCATCACTGTTTTCTGTATTAAATGGCACCTTCTTCCCTCTCTCACATTTACTGAAATGAGCCAAACTCAGAAATCAGGGCAGGGAAAGAGGAGGAAGGGATGTGGCGGACAGACAAGTCAATTGCATAAGCTCCACTTCCTAAGGAAATGAGGCAAAAAAAGATTCAGACACCCTGGTTGCAGTGATAGAGAAATTTGTGTTCCTGTTTCCCTTGGCAGCAGCACTGCATTGTGACAGGCCATCTTTTATCACTTCTCTAAGCAAAGTGCAGCTGGGACCCTGTGATAAATCTTCCCTTTGCTCCATCCCACTCCTGAAATAACTCAGAAGCGTCAGTTTGAAAAAGGACCTGCTGCGTTTCTTCCCCTTATTAGCTGAAATAACAGGCCTGTGATAATCTGGCCCACTTGGAAGTGTCAACCTTTCCATGTTCCATCTGAATGTATAAATGGAGCGCTCCTACAATAATCTCACAGCCTGCCAGAGAACCCGTGTCTCCACTGCGTAGCTCTGTCCTACAGAACAATGGAGCAAAACATTATTCCAGGTGCATTCGGCTTTTTGGAAGGTACATGCTGTGGCCTGTGAGGGCTCCTGCTGTGCTCAGCTTCTCCATGAAGTGCATCACTGCCGATAAAACTTGCTGCACAAAACATGAGCACATGGATTACCTGAGCAAGCTGGCTGGAGGAAAACCTGAGGGGAAATGGAGTCAGAGATGCCCATGCTTGACACTGGCACAAAGAGAGGGCGTGTGGAAAAGGGGACCAATGTGACATCCCTCTGGGAAGGGAACCGTGAGCTTTTACTGAAGACCTGTGTGCACTGTGAACTATTCCCTTCCCTCGTCCTCGCCTCAGTTTTGTCAGTGCCTGTTTCCTCATGGATAAGGAAAAATGGGCTGCTTTAATTCCACAGCCACCGTGTACCGCCGGAATGTTATTCTGCCTTTCCCCCGCTTTTCTGCGATTTAACAATATGACAATCTCTGGGTGTGGAGAGCCCGTGTGCGGGGAAGTGGCAATACCCCCACCCTGGTCACTGCCAGCACTGGAGCAGGGCGGGCTCTCCAGGATGGGAACCCCGGCGCAGAGCTGGCTCTACACGCCATCCCTTTTCCCACTCGGAGGGAGATCCGGGAAGGGCTCGGTTTGCTGTCCGGCTCTCCCCTCAGCCCGCCCCGCTGCCCTCACGGCGCTGCCCTCACGGCGCCCGCTGCTTCGCGCTCCCCGCCGTGTCCCCGCGCGGCCGCCGTATCCGCACGTGTGCGTCCCGCGTGGTGCCGTCGCTGCGCAGCGCCCGCGTAAGTGGCGGCGGCGGCGGGCGCGGGGCTGAGGGCGGCGGGCGCGGCCTCTCCTGCCCGCCGGCTCCGGGGATGGTGCTGCGGTGGGGGCTTCGGCTCGTGAGCTGCGGTTTCTCCGCCCCGGGGAGCGCGGCGTGCGCCGGGCACTGGGGGCGGCAGTGCAGCGTGCGTACCGCCGGGCCCTGCCCTGCCCCGCTCTGGGGACGGGTCAGGCCGGGTGCGCCATCGCCACTCGCCCTGCCGGCCTTCCCAAGCGGCCCGCCGTGTGTCCGGGCAGCGCAGGCCCTGCCTGCCTCCTCCAGGGAATGGTGACACGGCCTAGGGGGGAGCAGGGGCGCTCGCCTTTCCTGCCTCCGACTTGTTCATGTGCTGTCGCCCTCTGCGGCCCCGGGGGATGGAGCTGTCGCTTTCTGCCCGAGGTTCGTGCCGTTCATGCTCGTCCCATCTGCGGTTGTTTCCCCTGCAGGTTCTTACAATGGCTGAGGATTTGATAGCAGCGGTTGCCAGCCAGACAAAGAGGCTCAACAGCAGCAGCGAGGTGGTTCAAAGGCTGGAAGAAAACGGGCATCAAAACAAAAGGTTGAAGAGCGATGCGGATGACGAAGATGCAGAGGATCAGAATAAGAAGTCACCCAAAAGGAAGATTGTGCTGTTGATGGCATATTCAGGGAAAGGCTACCATGGCATGCAGGTATGGAGTTTGGCAAGGCAGCATCTCCAGCTTATTTTTTATTTTGGAATCTGTTAGGTTTAGTCAGTGCCTGGGTAGGGAATCAGTTGAGCATTTGCAGTGTGAAAAACCGGGGCAGGAACAGTGCATGAATGGGTCCAAATGGTTTGGTAGTAACTTAATTTTTAAAAGTCAGTGGTGCATCTCTGGTGATTCTAGGGACACTGCTTTGTCATGGCACCAGACGTGGCTGTGCAGGGTGGTCTGTGGCACGGAGCTGGCAGCCAGAGGGTGATCCTGCTCCGTCTGCTGCTCCTCTCCACGTACTGCAAGCTCTGTACACTTTAAGAATACTTCAGAAGCTCCAGGGGATAACTGATAATCTTGCACACAGGCAGGGAAGGGAGCCTTTCATGGTTCTACAACAAAGGAGGTTTTTTCACCAGCAGTCAACCTCATGCTTACAGGCACATCATCATCTTTCTAGAAGAAAAATTTGCAGAGGCTGGGTTTGGAGCAGCAGCTGTTAACTTGCAGGCACTGGGACAGTATTGGTGCTGTTTCATGCAGCTGATGGAATCATCAAATACCTCCAGAAGTGTTGCACAGTGAAATTAGAAATGAGCCCTTATTTGCCAGAACAATAACAGCTAAATCAGAATGATGTTTTATTAACACTCTCTGGTAAAATACAGTTAGGTTTGTTAGAGAATGGCTCTTAAGGCTGTAAAAGAAAGACTTTGAAAGAATTTCACGTTTGATTAATGAAATTTCCATCTTCATTTATTCAGTTACTGTGATTTGTTCTATTTCTTATTTTTACTACATATGGCCTCTTAGAGAAATGTGGGATCTTCCCAGTTCAAGACAATTGAAGATGACCTAGTCTCTGCCCTTGTTCAGTCCGGATGCATCCCAGAAAACCACGGGGAAGATATGAAGAAGATGTCTTTCCAGCGGTGTGCTCGAACAGATAAGGTAGATTGGGCAGGGTTGTGTTCTCCTAAACTCTGGGGTTTACACACCTCTGCTGCTGGGATGGACTGGCAAAACATTGTCCAGAGGGAGATCCAGCAGCGTTATTCACAGTGAATGTTGCTTGGAACTTCTCCTTTTGTCCACTATTAAATTAAAATACAAGCAAATAAACTTGTTATTCAGCTATTTCGATCCTGCAAGTGCTATCCTAGAGCTTCTAAAGTGCATAATTATGTGGGTTTTTGTGTTATATGGTTTTTACAGGGTGTGTCTGCAGCTGGACAGATTGTGTCACTGAAGGTCAGGCTAATAGATGACATCTTAGAAAAGATCAATAATCATCTTCCTTCTCACATCAGAATTCTGGGTAAGAACACTGAAATGGACATAGAAAATGTTCCCAAGAGAAGCTTTCTCCTGCAGAAGGTCTCTCTCTCACAATTATAATTTTGCTTACAAGGGGTTTAGTTTTAACATGCTTCTATTAGCTTGAAATTTGGGCTCTTCTGAACAAATCTATTTTTCTTTGTATTTTGTTTAAAAAAAATCTTGTTGGTAGGAGTGAGATCACAATCAATCTGTAACCTCCTGATTCAAAAACCTAATGTCACTTAAATCCAGGCCTGAAGAGAGTCACCGGGGGATTCAACTCCAAGAACAAATGTGACGCCAGAACCTACTCTTACATGCTGCCAACGTTTGCCTTTGCCCATAAGGACCATGAGGTGCATGAAGAGCTTTATCGGCTGGACACAGAGACCCTTGAAAGGGTCAATAAACTGCTGGCCTGCTACAAAGGGACACACAACTTCCACAACTTCACATCACAGAAGGGCCCCAGGGACCCCAGTGCCAAGCGGTACATCATGGAGATGTACTGTGGTGAGCCCTTTGTCAGGGAAAACATGGAGTTTGCAGTGATCAAAGTGAAGGGTCAGAGTTTCATGATGCACCAGATCAGGAAGATGATTGGGCTGGTGATAGCAATTGTGAAAGGTTATGCTGCTGAGTCCATCATGGAACGCAGCTGGGGAGAGGAGAAGGTCGATGTCCCCAAAGCCCCAGGACTTGGGCTGGTTTTGGAGAAAGTACACTTTGAAAAATACAACAGGCGTTTTGGGAATGATGGGCTGCATGAGCCACTGGAGTGGACAGAGGAGAAGGAGAAGATTGCTGTTTTCAAAGAGCAGTACATCTATCCTACCATTATCAACACAGAAAGGGAGGAGAAATCCATGGCAAACTGGCTTAACACCCTCCCCATTCATGACTTCAACTCATCTGCTGTTGAGATGCAAGCTAACAACAAAAATTCAAAGGTAATGACTGAAGCCATTATTTTTCAAATGGAAGCTGTCAAGTTGAAACATCTTTTCCCTTTGTAACATTTTTGTTTTCCATGAAATGCCTTGGAAATGACAGTCATCTGGAGTATGAAATGTGTATAATCTTTTCTGTCTTTGTGCAGTTGATAATAGTGGAATGAACTGTACAAAGCATTGTTTTTGCAGGGTTTTACAGGGAGTAGTTGAGGGAGAAAGGAAAGCTTTAAGCACAAGCAATTTGCATAATCATAAACTGGCAACAGAAATTATGGACACAATGCCAGCCTTTGCTGTTGTGAAAGTGTTTGGGAGTCTAGGTTTCAGGTTGACAATTTTGCTTTAAATACCTGCTGGCTTTTTGTATTCTCTGATTTTGGGCGAATTCTCGTTTTGTTATCAGATAAGGTTTGGGATCAGGGAAATTTAGGACCAGCTCTTTAAAATTAGTCTGCCATGAGCTCAAAATAGGCCATCAGAACAACTTCTGAATAACTTGGATATTGTGGAATTGGATTTGTGCCAGCAGGAACTCCTGTGAGCTGTAAGGTTCAATACAACAAAGGTGTAGAATACCTTTTTGCCAGAAGGAAATTTCAGTTAAAGGCTGGTTAAGTCCTTGAAGGATGAATGATGGACAGGGCTAAAACTTCTGTGTAGTTCAAGAGTTCTTAAAATTACCTTTATTTTGTGTAGCAAATGGAGAATGTTGCATTTAATTATGTCTACCATTTTTTGCTTAAGTTCAAGAAAGAGTTTCATCACATAATATAAAACTTAGAGCCTTGTTGAATACCACAAGCAGGATATCATAAGTTTCTCAGGGTTATTTTTGTACTTCTGGTAATTCTTTTCTGAATTCTGGATATGTGAGAGGGGTGTTTGTGACACGAGGTCATGGCAAAAGCCACATTAGTTTGGTTAAATGGGACCCAAAGACATGATGTGGCTCCTTTACCTGGTGATGTTGGCAGGACCTGGTGCTGCCAGGCTCCCAGTCCCTGACGTGTTCCTGGAAGGAAGCAGGTTCTGCTCCCTGCAGATAGACCTGACCAAGTTTGGCTTTGGCATCACAGCACAAGCTGTCTGGGAAGGATAAAAAAGGCATGATATGACAGACTCTGCTGAGATTTTGCAGGCTGTTTGCACTTCAGTGAGCTGTGCTTGCTGGTATGTAGTCAACTGTGTGAGTGCCTTGGAGTTTGTTTTGTAGTAGTATATTAAATTGCCAGCGTTAAATTTGTGGGATTTGATGTTCTCAACAAGTGGTGGTGAGGGGAAAAACTACAGACATAGAGTCTATAGATATACTATGCTAGCTTGTCTTTATAAAAATACTTTTATATCAGTCTTATCAGTTAAAATACTTGCTTAAAAAAAATACATAAACCCCCAAATTAATTGCACCATATTGCCTTACTCCTGAAGGAGTGGCTGCCAGAGAAGAACTGAGTTCAGTCTCCTTATAAGTTTCTAACATCTGTAGTTTTTTGCACTACTGTGTGCAACTGACTTCACTTTTAAAGAAGTGTTAGTGAGCCCTTATCTGCAGTACAGGTTGGACATAAATTCTCTGCAGCAGACAAATTTCTTGAATCTGGCTTTAGACGATATAACAAGCTTAGCTTTTGAGGGACTTGCATAAAACAATACTTAATTTGTCTCACGTACATTTATTTTAAATATCAACATTTCATGTTACTATCTCACTTTAAAGTTTCCCACATACTGTAGGTTGTAATTATGGAGTTGTAGATTTACGTAAGAAACTTTCTCTGCTGGTAATTGTAAGCCAAAGAACATTTTTTGTTACATGAAGCATCTTTACCACCACAGATGTTTTCTACAATAGATGGATCTATCCCACAAATTTAGGATCCAGGACTATTTTCTTACTATTGTGGAGGAGTTCAAAGTCAGTATCTTTGATTTAGGTCAGTCTGTGGATGTAAATGCAACACTGATAAATCATTTTGTGTTTTGCTTTGCAGAAGGGCAGCGATATCGAAGGCAGCGATGGTTGTGGTGATGATTCTGACTGAACCAGCAAGTGGCTGGACGTGGGACCCTTTGTCTACAAAAAGTGGCCTTTCTAAACCCAAGAATCCAGTGAAACAGGAGTTTGTGTGCTTGCAGAATGAGAACTGGATGCCCAGGAGAAGCTGGGTGGGGAAGACGGTGCGGCAGAAAAAACAGAAGCTTTTTATACCACTGACTGATTCACCTGACTGATATACTTGAAAACAGTGTAGTGGGAAAGCAGCTTTCTAGAAAAATCTTGAAATGCAGGATATCCTAATTGCTATTTGAATAATGTTTTTATAATGTTTACTTGGAAAATAGTATTTTAACTATGTATAATCTCTACGTAAAGATGGAGCAAATAATTTTAATATACTCTTTTTTTATTATGAAGTTACAACTTCATGAGCTTTTGATTTTTTTAATAATTTACCTTTACTTGAACTGAATCTCCCAGCTTTTATTTTTCATGTCATCCATGGTTTTCCTATGGATTAACATGCATGACCCTGAGATTAACTCAGTTATCTGCAGTGTGGTGCTAAAAATGCCAAGGTTGTGGATTCAATTCCTTTATGGGCCATTCACTTAGAGTTGGACTTGTTGATGCTTGTGGGTCCCTTCCAGCTCAGAATGCTCTGTGATTTAGAAACTATGGGTTAGGAACTCATTATCATGCTGACTGCCGTGAACTCTTTTGGTTTTGAAACAAGTTCCTGTGTTTTCTAGAGCTTTGCAGGTCTGAAAGAAATGATTCCTTACTCAGTGAAAGGGCTTCTGTTTGGAATGTGGACTGAACCATACATTCCAAGATGAGACATTTTCTGTGGAAGGTGCCATCCTCCCAGTATTGCCCTCGTGCGTGGGCAGGTTCAAGGATATAAATCCACAGCTCCAGGTGTACTTGGGCCTTTTCTGCCTGAGGTGTAACCCAGAAATCCTTTTGAGCCATCCGCAGGATCCAGAGTTTAATTGATTTGGCATGTGTGAAAGAAATGGTGCTGAATTTTCTGGACTTCAGTCAGGCTGGGTTTGTGAACTCTTCAATCCCATCAGGCTCCTCAGGGAATGTTTGCAGTGATATGGGAGGCACCTGTCTGAGCACTGCCATCCTCTGGGAATCAATTTTAATTTTCAGTGTTTTCAGGAATTCCTTATCCTGGAGTTCATGCTCCTTTTTCCTATCAGTGTTTAACTTCTGGTTCTTGTTTCCAGCTCTCTGGAGGTGGCAGAAGAAATTACACCCTCCTGCCTTACCAACCTGCAAAACACTATTGAAATACTGGAACAAGACTGCAAGCGTTTGGATATTCCCTTGCTTGAGTCTGTGTGGAGTCTTGCATTCTAATTACTGAAAATAAGGAGTCAACTCTTTGTTCCCACATATAGTGGGATTTGGCCAAAGCCTTTAATTTTATAGTTCCTTCTGGAATGATTCTTTTGGTTTTGAAGGTTTTTTTTTGGGTTGGTGGCAATTTGGGGGTATTTTTTGGGGCACAGCTGTACTTTAAAAAAATATTCCCATGTTCATTTTATCTGGGTTTTCTTTAGAGCTTTTCATCATGAAGGCCTTGCTTGATTTTATGAGAGCAAGTGTATAGAAGTGTCGTGGAGAGAGTTTCTGCCTGGATTTTCATTTACATCCCTTCCTGGTCCCTACTCTGCATTACCTTCCATCCAAAGCTCCATTTCCCCATGCCATTCAATCTGAAAAAAAAATTACCTTTATCTACTTATAATAAAGGCCCCAAAGCTGTGATATGTACCACAGTTGAAATCAAAGAGAAAATTTATTTGGAGTGAGAAAAAACATGAATAACAGTAATTAATAATAATAATAATAAATACTGAATGGTCGCGGCTCCCCCTCTGTGCGGGTGGGAGCGCCTGGCGGGGTGTCCCCCCCGCGGTGGGAGGTGAATGGTATCGCCGCGCGCGGGGCGGGGCGGGGCGAGGGGCGGCCGTGAGGGGGCGCTGCGGGAGAGCGCTGCGGGCCCGGGGCGTGAGGGGAGCGCGGGGCGGCTCCGGGACCTGGGGGTGGCACAGGGGGTGCGGTGTGCGGAGCGGGTCAGGCTGTGCGGGGGTGGCACAGGGGCTGCGGAGCGGGGACGGGATACCGCGGGAAGCACGCAGCGATGTGAGGGACAGGGCACCGCGCTCCCGGCGCTGCTGAGCCCTGTGTTAGCGCCTGCTCTGTTCCGAGGCAGCACCGACACCCTGCGTACCGGGTTGGAATGTCCTTTACAGCATGGACCATCCCGCCCCGCTGCTTTATGAAACGGGAGGCTGGAACTGGCAGGAGTGACAGCAGGCAGCCCCCTCCTGGCACAGCTTCCGTCATCTCCCGTGCGTGTGACAGCACCGGCCTCTCCGTCACTCCCTGGGCTGGAGAAAGCCAAAAGCTTGGCCGTCCTGCGTCTTCAAATTACAAACATACCCAGTTCAGACTCAGAATGAGCTGCAGGAACCCTCCAGGTCTGGCTGCTAGAGATAAAGCAAATGGATAAATCTACTGTGACGGTAAAGAATTTTAGTGGTTAATTCGGGTTAAAAGGTCAGTGACCATTGAGATCAAATCGCTTTGCAGTTGTGCAGGAAGCAGTTCTGCAACCATAAACCTCATTTCGTAGCAAAATAAAGTGAATGTAAAATTTAAATCAAGACGTAGGAGTTCATAGACCTTTGGAAATGGTAGTCCGATGTACCATTTTATTGACAATGAGATACTTTATTAGGTTAACTTTATTTCAGTTCCAAAATAGTACTTCAGAGAGAGACTCATGATTAGTTCTGACAGCAAGTAAAAAAAAAAGTCACGAACTTTAAAATAATGCTGGTACATCTAATGCTTATATTAATGACTTAAGATTAAGTGTAAATTTTAAGCTTTGTAATTAAAGATAATTGCTTTAATGAGATTTTCTGTAATTGTAACATTATATCTAATAACAATTGTTACTAATTTTAAAAACCCTCTGGAGAAAATCTTAGAAATCCTAGTAAGTGCTGCACATCTCATTTTCCATCCACTGGGTTTAAATTTGTACCCTCTGAGCCTAATTTGTTGCTTTCCTTAATTAATGTTGCATGAAATTTTCCTCTTTTGGTCATTTGATACCCTGATAGAGATTGGTTATCAACTCTCTGCAGGGTGGTGTTAGCAAAGATCTTGTCAGGTTCAAGAGTGGATAAGGACATCCTAGACTGGCATGCTGATTGAGTCACACCTTCAGAGCTTCCAGGTAGGCAGGTGTACTGGGGTGTGGTGGAAAGCTGATTTCACCAGCTATCTAACAGGCTGGATTGCCACTTTCTTTGATTCTCTTTGTCATTTTGCTATTTTCTTTACTGAAATTGCAATTTTTAAAAGTCTCTCTGCAGGTGGAATGCCTCCTGTCCCTCAAGTGGCTCAGCAGATTAGTCAGGAGGAAAACCAGCAGCAAAATGGACCAAATTTGTCAAGTTGGCTTAATTCCTTACCTGCTGCATATGACAGGAACCCAGTTCTGCCCCAGCAGGTACAACCAGCAGGCTGGGATAGGAACAATGTGCTTGTGGTCCCAGCTCCAGTTCCCTCACAACAACAGGTATATTTGTAAATTATACAACATTTATATTATACAACTTTCGTTTATTATCTTGTTTGGAGATTGTTGACCTTTGTGTTTTGTGTGGAGACTTTGTGGATGGCAGAATTTATCACTCCAGTCTGGGGAGAAAGGAGCAAATAATTCCAGTAGTTTTTGCAGGTGACTTTGCCAAGCCTGATAATTTGCTTCAGAGAGCTGTGGCGTAGCTCATCTGGGTATGAATCTTTCTTTACAAAAATACTTTTGTATTTAAATTTAGAATGTCTGTGGATACCTGTGGCTTTCATTTGGTTTTAATTAGTGCTGCAGATATACATGATTTTTCTTGAAGAAAGGAAAGGGGTGAGGAGGAATCAGACACATTCTCTAGGGAGGTAGCATTTGTTCTTGTTATAAAGTCCTAGAAGGAGATTTAATTAAACAGAATCCATTATTTAAAATTTTTATGTGCCATTTTAGAATAAAGGAGGGGGAATGGCAATGAAAATTTGTGCTGCTTGTGCTGACTTGACAGCAGTTGCAGGATGCTTACATGTGTTAATAAAAATGCCAGAAAATAGATGTGTTTTTATATGAACTTTTTTGAGAATTTTGTCCATCTGCCATCTGGCAGAGTATTTAAATTCTGTGAAATTTCTCACTGAATCAGCCAGCACTTTGATGAGATCTAGGGGTACTATACTTTAGGAGGAAAAACAGAAGTTATCAAGACTGAGTAGCACTGCATCCCAAGCTTCTCTCCTGATTTTTTGCATTACTGCTGCCCCACAAAGTCCTTCAGAGACTTTACAAAAAGCTGCACAAAATGCTTTATTCATTATCTTTTAATGAAGTGTGACTTCAAACACCATGGAATGTTTCCAAGGACTGAGTAATCATTTCTATTGATTATCCATGTAACATTTTAACATTTTTCATAGTGTCTGTCTTGGTTTTGTGTTGTGCCGTAGGAAACATAAGTTTAATTATGTTTATTTGAAGGAAAATGAAATTCTGCAGGGAATAACAGCACTGAGGAAAGAAGGTTTATGGTCTCTGAAACCTCTGCCCAAACTCGGCACAAATCATACCATGTTGTTATGAAAGAAATGCAGTGGATGGCAACTGACTTTTTTTTCAAGAAAGAAGATGAAAGACTGTAATTGCCAAGAGAGTGATGTGAATTTGATATTTTCAACCAGAAAAGAATAGGCAGCATTTTCATGGTTAGGATGTGATCACCGAGGATCTGGGAGTCTGGGGTTGCCTTTCCACTGTTTGTAAACTTTAAACAGTACTCCTAAAGGGATTGTAATTATTTTTTTTTGTTAGAAATTTGCCTTTTAGATAGAATTGAGCAAAACCTTAAAATAACTTTATGGTTTTATTTTAGGGTTAGTGTGTCAAGGTGGGAATAGATGGGTCTGGAATACCAGTTCTACAAAGGCAAATGTTCTAATTACAAGCATTGAATTAGCTGCAGATATAGCTTATCTTTTGAGGGTGCTGCCCTATTTGCGACTCCTGGTAACATGAGCATAATGCTCCATTTCCATGGTGTGGGTTCTTGGAGCCTTTTAAAGTAACGGCAGCTGCTCTCTGCAAAGTCACATGACACGTGGCTCTTCCAAGTTCCACTTTAATTCTGCCATCAGCTGGGAGCTTTTTAATCATTCTCAGATACTGTGGTATTATTACTATTATTTTGTCTAAACTGCATCTGAATAGTAGTAAAATATTTCTTTAGGTTTTGTTTTTTCTTTTACAATAACTTAAGTACACAGACTGGCCTCTCTTTGATTTGATTGGGATGGAAAGCCATATTAGTTGCTACAAAGCACAAATGCTGTTAAAACTGAAGGTAACTGGAAAGTTTATTGAAGACATCTCCTGCTCCCTTTCATCAGCCAGACTTAAGCCAGTGAAGCTCAAACCAAAAAGGTATGTAGTGTTCAGGTGATTGGTTTATTTTTTATTGATTTTTTTTTTTTTAAGTAACAGATGAAAAAGAGTAATATTTGTGAGGGCTGAGAGGGTTCATTCAAAATTATTTGTTTCTTTTTTAATCTTTTGTTTCCAAACTGATCACTGCTAAAGACTTTATGCCTTTAAAGTCTTCTCCCTCAGTCTTCTGGGGGAAAACAGAGTGCTTCTTACTGCTTAAGTTCTTTTCATTTATCAAAGCTCAGTTTTGATCTTTCTGGCCACACTCAAGAGTTGAAGTCACTTGTGGTTTTGATCAAACACTGAAAATTATTTCTGGAATAGAGTTTCCTAAGTAGAATAATTAAATCTTCTCCTTCTAGTTAGTTTCTAGTTAGTTTTCAGATGTACTTGCAAAACACTTAAAGATTTTTATTTTTTTTGGGGGGGGGGAGGGGGAGGGAAGGACAGAGGGAGAAAAAAATACTCTGTTAAATTTTGGGCTTTTTAATTTTTATTTTTTTTTTTGTTCTAGAGTCTTCCCTCAGAAGAGAAATTAGAAGGGTTCAGTTTTGAGTCTTGGAGCAAATGTAATTCTGCTGTAGAGCGATGCAGAGTTAAATTTTACCATAAATTAGCCTGATATAAGAAGGGTATGGTTAATGAAGCCCAAGACAGCTTGTGTGACACATGGCTGTGACAGGTGACAAGAAAGATGTCCTGCACTAGTGTCCTTAGGCTATTCTGCCAGAAGAGAGCATTGGCAGTTAATGAAATTAAGGACTGGGAAGTGATAGCTGAAGTATATATGTAAAACAGAAAAAGAACTTATTCTTTTTGTCTTTAGACATCTTTGGTTTCCTGGAAATAGCGTACACAAAACAGCTATTGTGAAATCAGCTCTTAAAACTGCACTGTTTTTGAAACCATACCTGTAATTAAAGCTTTGCTCCATTACAAAGTTTGACCCTTATTAGCATCTTTTGGGGAGTTTTCTTGCTGTCTCCAGACTCCACAGATGACTGGGGGATATGGGAGTTCTGTTATGCCCCTTCCATGTAATCCTTCAGAGATGACTGGAGCATCAGAGCATTTGGTGTACTTGAATTTTACAGTATAGTGTGCTTCTTCTGTGTGTTGAGAGAAGCAGAATCCCTCCTGCCATATGCTCTTCAGCTGGGTACCTCTTTCAGCTCAGATTACTGACTAAAAATAATATTTTTGCCAGTAGGCATAGAATAAGGAAGCAGATTTATTTTTCATTACAATACCAAAGCTGACATTTGTTCTTGTATCACAAGTGTCAGTTTTTCTCCTGCTCTCTTCTCCATTCATAGAACTCTCATATGAACTAAATTATTTTTATTTTTGACTTTGTTTTTTGCAGAAGCTTTATCTGGTCACAGTAGATTCAGAAAATAATTTTGAATTTAAAGGGTATCCAAAGAGAAAAAAGACAAGTAAAAGAACACCTGGATAAAATATACTTCTGGAATGAGTGTCATTATTCCAGAATCCTCCTGTATGGCAGAGACCTGTTGGAAACTTGTTCTTGGATCAGTGAAAGAAAAATCTCTCAGCATTGTTCTGCCAGGATTAACAAGTGGTGCTGGGCAGGCTTTGCAAATTGCCTTCCATATTCCAGCACTTCAGAGGCTCTAAGGATCCATTGCAGGAAATCATTCTGACACTGAAACAGCAACAGATTGCCCTGAAGGATGTTATTACCAGGTAATAGAGACAAATCCATGTGAGTCTTTGCACAGATTAGATGGGTGTGTGCTACCCTCCAAAATAGGGTATTTATGTGAACAACTGTAAAATGCTAGATGATAAATAGGCTGCCTTTTTTTATCCTTTTTGCAGGCTACATTCCTCTACACTGAACTTATTTGCATCTTAGATGTATAGTTTTGGATAATTCTAGGATCTGAAACTCTCAATAGTTCCATGGCAACTGTTATTATATTTATAACAGTTCTGCTTTATTTTGACATATCTTGTATTTGTTGTGTTAATGTTGACAAAAAAAAACCCCTAGGAATTGTAAAAAGCTTCTCTTGGTAACTTTATGGATGATGGTAATTTTCACTTAGGTGTTTTTGCATTTACTTGATGTCATCGTAAAACTTCCTGTCCTGATTTACTTTCTGTTACCTTTAGCCAGGTGTTTTGTGCTTCTTTGCAAATATTACTGGTTTTGAGTAGTTAATAGCTCAAGTGTTTAAAAATGAGTATAATAAAGTTCTGATTTGTTTTATAGAGACCTGTGTGTTAGAGAGCTGTGTGTGCTCCTCCATGTTTGTGTGGCGCAAATCCTTCTTACACATGGACCCATGGAATGAAACTCTTGCAGTTCAGTCTGAGGAACAGAGATGGTGCAGTGTGATTCAGGTATTAAACACCCACCACTGGATACACCTGTGTGCAGGGGCTGTCTCTAATTGTGAGTGTGACCTGCAGAACATTCAGGTTCTCATTTATAACCAGGCAAGCTGGGAGCTCTGGCTGTCCTGCTTTGGAAGCTGAAAGCAGAAGGGAGAGCAGGTGCTGATTTTGACACAGATGATTGCAGTGTTTAACATCCTGGAGCTTTTCCTGAATTTCCGTTTCCTCACGTGAGTGAGAGTTAGTGAGAGTGGTGCTCACAGCTGGCATTATCTGGTAAGAGGATCTCTTACTCCAGCTAATAGTGAGTAGGTGCTTATGGTGGGAGGGCAAAGTCTAATACATTTGCAAGATTCATTTGCATAGTTTCTTTGCTTATTGAAGCAAATTATATATGTAGCTGTAGCACAAATATGTAATTATAAATGAAATATGTCAGTCATATTACTATTTGATGAGGAATCTAGGGTGTTTACAAGGAGTATGCCTCTAATTATCCTATGTTTATGAGCAATTTGTGCTTCAAATGCAGATTTTTTTTTTTCATAATAGCCATTTGATTAATTGCTTTTGCTTTCATTATCTGTAGCTATTTACATTGTTAGTACTTTAAGTGTAGTTGGTGTTTTTATGTTGGCAGTTCCTCAGCCTTACTCCAGGGGCTTTTATTTGTCGTAGAGTGCCCTGGCATTGCCTGAGGATAAATTGAAAGTATGCTCCTTTCCCTCCCCAGTAAGATTCTGTGTATCCTCTGGGGCCTACAATTTGAGCAAACATTAACAATATATTGAAGGTATTTTTATTTTTTATTCCAAATTGCATGATTATGCTTTCTGTTAGATGCAGTATAAAACATGAAAGAATACTTTGCCTTAAAGCAACACAAGGCATTTGATTTGATTTAGTCAATAGACAAGAAAAATGATGGAGCAGGTACAGGAATAACAGCTCAGGTGTGCTTGATCTAAGGACATGATGTGGTTACTGTAATAGATATTTAGATTTTTATTTGGCTGACTGCACCATAAATTAATAGCTTTAATAGTAGGCAGATTAATTATGAATTGTGTAGATCTGTAATGTGGGCAGTCAGATAACTTGAAATGTTTTGCATGCTTAATGTAGGTTGGGTAAGTAATAAGATAACAATTTTTCCAGTCTTCTCACTCTGTTAAAAAAAAAAGACTGTTTAGAGATTTATCCCTTATTAATGTGAATTTTTAATGAAGTTGCTAGTTTCCCTATTTTAGGAATTCATAAAAATCTTCAACAAAGGCAAGTGATCCTTCTGTGCTATCCTGTCTTCCCACACTCCTTCCACAGGTGTCAGTCACACAGGTGTGATTACTGTTGTCTTCTATGACTGATTTAGATCTGCTGATGGATGCAAAGAGTAAGGAGTGGTGTGACAAAATTGCAAGAGGCAGAGATAATCACACATACAGGTGAATTTCATGCAAAGAAATCAGTGTTTTAAAATCAAAAGTAGAGAGAAGATGGTTTGGGGAGAAACTAGGATTTTTGGTTGAGGTCACCCTTCTAGTTTAAGTAACTTGGTCTTTCAAGATCCCTTCAAAGATTGTATCATACACCTTCCCTTCAGACTAGAGGGAAAATGAAAATCATGTCCTTTCCACACTGCTGCTTCTGTCCTGTCTTTGCTCCCACTTTAATCTAACAAACCATCTGACTTCTGTATTGAGACAGCCAAAATAAATGTGTGTGTTTTCAGTCCTTGATAAATAGAAAATGCCATTCTTGATTATCACTGGATTTCAGATCCACCTGTGATGTTTATGTAGTTCTAAGATGTATTTGAAAGCTTCTCTCCAGTGACAATTTCTTTTCTTGAAAGGATGTGCTGAGAGCACAAGGATTGTAATGGGTTCATTTGTTTTACAGGCTTGTAAGTGGTAATTCTGTTGAAGAGAGTCTGTTGAAAAAGAGTATTAAACATAGGATTCAAGAACTGGCTGCTCAGGGAGGGGATTGTTCAACAGACCTTTTATCTCAGGTACTGTAACATTAAGAACATTAGCAGTTATTTAATGATACATAAAAAATTAGTGTTTTACTTGATCTGAGACAGAGTTTTGAAAAGGTAGTGGTTTATTATTTCTAGGTTTATTTGGGAACCAGTGATATGTGTTCACAGTTCAGTAGAAATACTGAGCTGTCAGCTCATATAGAAAATCAGAAGGTAACAATATCTAGTAATAAAGGTTTGCTTGTTTCAATGATAATGTTACCCTTTTATTGACATTGCCTTAATCAAAAGCAACATCTGCAGCAAAAGGTGTCAAATACATCTATAATTTGACTTCTCTGAACTTGATTTTAGGATGACTAAAAAATTTTTTGACCTCATGCCTTATCTTATTGAATACTTCAAAACGTGTTTCCATAAGGTTCTTTGCTCTGAATATGGAAAAGAGGGTTCCAGAACGTTTACAGAAGAGAGACTGTCTGAGCTAAGAAATTATTTAGATTGAATGTTGTGTGACTCAGGAAACATCATGGGTCCTACTCAGAACAGCTGGCCAGCTTGGTGGACCAGATTAGGGGATTTCTCTTATTTTATGTAAACCTTTAGAAAAGATTGGAATTTACTTTCTGTAAAACAACCAAGTGGCTTCCGTAAAGTACCTTGTTTTCAATCCATTTACATGAAACAGTTCTGTGCAAATTTAAATACTGAAACACTCAGGGGAGGTAATTTGAGCCTGTTGATATATCTGTTCGTGTTCTGAAACATCTAAATTACCAAGTGTTCTCCTGAGGGTTGTGACGTGCATTGAACTGAATGGTATCTTGTGTTGTAAAACTGTTTTATAGTCCTGTGCCTTGTCAGATAATTTGCATTATTTTCTTCAAGGTCTTGGATCATGTCAGTGATGTGGTTCTCTTGTAACTATGTTTATCACTCTCCAAAGCAATGCCAAAATTGTTACATAAAGACCATTGCAAGTTCAGAGGGAAAGGTGTTGAAACGTGATTTGCATTGTGAGAACTTGGGGGTTTCTGGGGTCTTTTTTGTTGTAGTTTTTTTGTGTGGTTTTTTTTTTTTTTTCTTTTAATTCCTCATTGCTGTTAGAGTACTACATGAGTGTTTACTAAGCAAAAACATAACTAGATTTTAGAATTCTAAATAGCAAATGTTAGTAAACATCTTCTCCTAACAGTATTACTAATATAGGTTATATTTATTACATTTCCATACACTTAGGAATATGAATTTCCCCAATATTATGATAATATGATCTTGGATGTATCATTTGCACAACCAGTATGTAAAAAATAAGGGTGGAAAGCTGTTTAAGTGGTAGGATATGAATTGTTTTCAGTCAAGGCTATTGGTAACTATGAATTTTGAGACAGGGCTTTTGCTTATGTATTTTTGTATTATGTATTTTTTTGCTTATGTATTTTTGGTACCTAAGCCTTCACTTTGTATTTATGTAGAATGTAGGTGGTCATCCTCTTTGTGCTAAAGACTGGAATTCTGGGTGTATTCAAATCTAAATGAATCACTTTTGAGTTGATGACAGTGACTTCTAGAAAAAGAAATAGATTTCTTTAAGTTTACTTCTACTGTCAGTAATTTTTCTCAGATTTAACAGGAAATCACTGGTGGCCTGATTGGTGAATTTGTTTTCTCTTAAGCACGAATGTAATTCACGGGGACCTTTTTCTTATCAAAGGTTCTGTGTTAACCTTTAGCCTTAAGGTAGTGTTTACTGTCCAAGAATCAAATCTGTGCTCCTGCTGATTTTATACTGAATATACTGATTTTATACTGAATACTGAAGTGCTTCAGTATTGCTCCATCTGACGTACCAGAAGTCCTTCCTCCTGTCTGGGTGGAACCTCCTGAGCATCAGTGTGTGCCCGTTGTCTCCTGTCCTGTTACCTGGCACCACCGAGCAGAGCTGCTCCTCTCAGCCGCTTCTTCCCGAGGCCGAACAGCGCCGGCTCCCTCAGCCTTTCCCCGTAAGAGAGATGCTCCAGCCCCTTCACCGCCTTTGTTTCCCTCGGCTGGCCCCGCTCCAGACGCTCCCAGTCTCTCCTGCCCTGAGCAGTACAAGCCCCGCGAGCTGCAATGTGCATTTTCACACCGTGGCTTGAAGAGCCAGCCCTGCTCCCTGCGCGGACAGAAACCACCCTCTGTTCTCTCCTTCCCCTCCCCTGTCTCTGCTATAATAAATATAATTTTTCTGCCCTGTCGCCGAGCCCGTTCCTATCGCGACAGGAGCCGCGGGCCGGCTCCGCGGTGCGCGCAGGCGCGGCGCTGGCGCAGGCGCGGTGCGGCGCGCGGCTGGCGGCGCAGGCGCGGCGGGACGCGGTTTGTCTCCTGCCGGCGCTGGTAGCGGCGCCCCCGCCCGCGCTTCCTGCCCGCAGCGAATGGAACCCGCGGCGCCCGCGGTAAGTGCGGCCCGCGGGGCCCGCCCGGGCCCGGCTGCGCGCCCCGCTCCGCTCCGAACGGCCCCCGACAGCCCTGCCGTCGCACCGGGAGCGGCCGCGGAGGGACGGGCCCGCCCGGCGCGGGGCGGGGGACGCGGGCCGGGCCGGGCCGGGGGAGCGCGGCCCCGGCGGGGGAGCCCCGGGCGGGGGGAGTCCCCGCGGAGCGGCGGCGGAGCCGGGCTTCGCCCCCGGCCCGAGCGGCCTCGCTGCGCTGCTCGCACACAAAAGGCGATCCCCGCTTCGGGACCTCCCTTATCGGCCTGTAATTAATTAAGTGTTTTCACTGGGGCCGTAAGTGTTAGTGAGGTGCGGGTAATTAAAATAATAAGACCTTGTTGCTGGTAGTATCGTTTGAATCTTAATTATTTGGCATCGGCGCTGTGAAACAACCACAATACCTGGAAGAATTGCAGTATCGTTAAATCTTTTGGAAAAGGGGCCTGTAAGGAGTGCAGTTTTTTCCGCTTCCCGCTCTACTGAGGGAGCTCGCTCAGGTTTGAGCTCCGGAGAGTGGGAGAGCCGAGACCCGCCGGGATGAGCCCGGTGCAGGAGAGCCGAGACCCGCCGGGATGAGCCCGGTGCAGGAGAGCCGAGACCCGCCGGGATGAGCCCGGTGCAGGAGAGCCGAGACCCGCCGGGATGAGCCCTGGTCCGGGAGAGGCGGAACCCGGCCGGAGGAGCCGCTGTGCCAGCTGCGCTCCCCGGTACCCCCGGCACGGGAGGTCCCGGGCTCTCGGCCTCCTGTCGCTGCTGGCACGTGTGTGACAGCTCTGCTTTGCTCCACCCTCCCGGACAGCCGCCTCTTTCCCGGGGCAAGGAAGGGAATATCTCCATCCCCAGGGCTTAGGCAGATCGCTGCAGGTAGTGCAGGACAGGGAGCGGAGGGTTTGTGATGTGCTCCCTGCCTGGGCAGCGGAGGAACGGGAGAACCGGCAGCACCCGCTGCATCTCATCGCTTCCCACTGGTGCTGCCGTGCCGGTGTGCTGCTGCCTGTTGCCACTTGCGACCAGCTTGGAGTTAGGAACACAAAGGAGTGGCAGCATATTTGTGTGTGTTTGGCCTGAAATTATAAAAATGAAAGTGTTGCTTTCAAAACAAGAGAGAGATTTTAAAAGGAAAAAAACCAAACCTATCAGGTTTCATTTTCTCTTGCTGCTCTTTGTATGTGACTCCCAGTCCTGAATCTACCTGTCAGTGCATGTCATTGGAATTTTTGTTTGTCTGTGATTGAAATGCAAAACCAGAATGTTTTGGGATTTCTGCGTAGCTTAATAAACAGCATTTTTAATGAAATGCAGATTTGATTAATTTTCATCTCTTTATGTGTTCTGAAGGAAAGAGAAGGCAAAGTTAAGCATCAAGTACAGTAGTTTTCCATACAATTGGATGACTTGGCCTTCAGTAGCTAGAAAATAAATGAATAGCCTGTCCATTTTCTTATTTTTAGTTGCTACTGAAACATTGGTAATAACGTGAAAAAAGAGTGGATGCCTTTGGTATTGGAGACCATAGTTTTTTGAAGTTCCACAGCAAGGGAAAAAGTCCTGTGTCTATCTAGTTAAGGGGAACACAGCATTTATAAGACTATTCAATAGCAGTGCTAGCTAGAGAAATTTATGAGGGATTTAAGGAAGATTTTGTTGTTCTGAGATGCCAGTGAATAGATCATTCTAAACGTTTTAAATAAAAGGTAATCTTTCTAGCTGTAGTTAAGTAGTTTCAGTTGCAGAAGAGTTTTTACCTTTCCTGATTGTCTGTTTTTGTGTATTTCTTTAGCGTATACTATAAAACCTTAGATCAGTGAGAATGCACCATGGCAATGGTCCTCAGAATGCCCAGCGCCAGCTCCAGAGATCCAGGTCCTTCACAGGCAGTGAGGGAGAAGAACAACAGGCAAATTTGCCCCAGTCTCCCGCAGCCTCTTTTGCGCCTTCTGCAAGCCCCTCAGCGCCGCAGTCGCCCAGTTACCAAATCCAGCAGTTTATCATGAGCCGGAGCCCGGTGGCGGGGCAGAATGTGAACATCACCCTGCAGAACGTGGGCCCGGTGGCCTCGGGGAACCAGCAGATAACTCTCACCCCGCTGCCGCTTCCAAACCCGACGTCCCCGAGCTTTCAGTTCAGCCCTCAGCAGAGGCGCTTTGAGCATGGATCCCCCTCGTACATCCAGGTCACCTCTCCGCTGCCGCAGCAAGTGCAGTCGCAGAGCCCCACGCAGCCTAACCCGGTGCCGGTGCAGGCGCTGCCCAACGTCCGGGCAGGCACTCCCGGGCCTGGCCTGGGCATGTGCAGCCAGAGCCCAACAAGGGGCTTTGTGGATGCCAGCGTGCTCGTGAGACAGATCAGCCTGAGTCCTTCCAACGGCGGACACTTTGTGTACCAAGAAGGGCCGGGAATTGCACAAATTGCTCAAGGAGCTGCTGCACAGGTGCAGCTTCCATCGTCTGGGACGCCTGCCACGGTGAGGGAGCGCAGGCTTTCACAGCCTCACTCGCAGTCTGGGGGCACCATCCACCACCTCGGGCCTCAGAGCCCTGTGGCCAGCGGGGCAAATATGCAATCCTTGACTAGCCCGGGCCACATCACAACGACCAGCTTGCCACCCCAAATCAGCAATATTATCCAGGGGCAACTTATGCAACAGCAGCAGCAAGTGCTTCAAGGGCAACAGCTGAGTAGACCCATTGGATTTGACAGGACTTCTGGTGGATTGATAGCAGGAGTTGGAGGACCAAGTGCGTTTGGAATGACGTCACCTCCTCCTCCCACAAGTCCTTCACGGGCCACTGTGCCACAGGGGCTGTCGAGTCTTCCTCTCACTCCTACAGCTAACACAACAGTGAAAAAACAACCCAAAAAGTTGGAGGAGATTCCTCCTGCAAACCAAGAAACTGCTCAAATGAGAAAACTGTGTTTGGATCATCACCACAAGCAGATGGAAATTCTTAAGGAAACTTTTAAGGAATGTTTGATTGAACTGTTCTTCCTGCAACATCTTCAAGGGAATATGATGGACTTCTTAGCTTTTAAGAAGAAACATTGTGTTCCTCTGCAAGCATACCTGAGGCAAAATGACTTGGATCTGGAGGAGGAAGAAGAGGAAGAACAATCTGAGGTCATCAATGATGAGGTAAGAAACTTTGTTGGAATAAAATCGTGGATGAAGTTGTAGCACTGGGATTGTGAAGTATTAAAGAATGGGACAGGACATGAAGAACCATTTTTGCTTGATGAAGTATGGCGGTTTTTCATAAAATAGTTGGTCTGAGAGAATGCAGTTCTGCTGGGTGGTGTGATTTGATGGGTCGGTTTGAGTGTGCTGTTAGATTTATGGATTTAAAATTAAAGAATAGAGAGGGAGCTTTAACTGTCCTAGTTGCACACAAGTAAAGATGGTAGAAGTGTGGAAATGATTTTAAGCTCTCAGAATGGTTATGACTAGGAATCATAGTTTTAATTTCACTTAACTAGACTTGGACAAACCAAAAAGGAATAAGCAAAAGCATTACAAGAGGTTAACCTGACTCATGGATCTTCCAGTCATAGATGTTACTGAAGTTCAATGTTGCTGCAGCCAACAAAAAATGTGAATTAATCTAATTAGTGAGGGAGAACATGTGTAGTGGTCCACAGTCATGTGGTGCCCTGGAGCTCTGTGTGTAAGTTGCTGTTTAAAGGATTAACAACCAGCGCTTACATACTAGACATTGACAAGTTCATTTTGTTGCTTATGCAAAAGTTTAAATTACTAACTAGCTTGAATTCATTGTTCATTAATGGCAAAGAAGTTGAAGGAAGCTCGCCACTGACAGGTGCTGTGCAGCTTTAACTGCATGTTTGTACCCGTCTGTGGCTGCTGGAGCACTGGTCTGGTGCAGAGCCTGCCCACAAACCGACATGGCAAGTGGTTGCAGCAGGGTAGATAGAACTGATGTCCCTGCACCACTTGGCATTCATAAATATCTTCGAAAATTTGTGAAAATATCTAAGGGTATATAGCTGCCAGAGTGTAGAGGAATCAATATTATGTAAAGAACCTTTAACTACCTTTGGGAAATGAGTGCCTTCACTGAAATTTCATGACTCTTAGGTATGAATTATTAGTCATGCCTTCAGCTGGAATTGGTGGGAAATTTTAACAGAATTATGGCTGAAGTTTAATTTATTCATTGCTTTGTTGTCTAAACTTCTTGATTAGGAAAATACATTTCTGCTTGCGACAGTTATTGACAATTTTGAAGGAATCATTACTTTATATAGTAATATAAAAGCTAGCTTGTTACTGTAATTTATTGACAATGGATATTCAGTATTTTTTTTTTCACCTGGTTTGTGTTTTGTCAAATTGTTTAGGTGTTCTTGTTGGGTTGCGTGTTTGTCAGCTGAAATAACCAGGTATTTTTAACTACCATCTGCACACTTTGAGGGCTCTTTAGTGGGTGTAAATGGTACAGGTTCCTTGAAGTCAGTGGCACTGCTACACTTTAAATGAGTTGAGGCTCTACCCCATGGTGTTTGGGGTTGAGAATTTGCTGTACTTCACTGCCTTCTCGTGGTGGATCCTCTTTTGTTTGTGAAAGCTGCTTGTCCCTGTAACTGCTGGAGAGTTTTGCAAAGTGCAACAGCAGAAGTGTTTATGTGTTTTCAAGTGATGAATCCTTCTGAAAGATTAAGACGTCTTTTGAGTATGTTCTTTCTTTGTATTTTGTTGTCGCCTTCTGTTTTATTTCCCCCTCCCCCTCTTTATCACTTTCTGCTAAAGCAACGCTTCATCCCTCGCCTGGAAGGTTGATGTCTTTGGGAATTCAAGGGGAGAGTGAATGGTGGCTGTGCTCATTGCTTAAATAAATGTTGAAGCTCTCTTACGTTCAAACTGTCTGTCATGCTAATTTGTTGTCCGTTAGCAGCAGCAATCATTAAATTTAAAACACATTTTTATGTTAACTGGATTTAAGAAAATGTTTCCAGTGACGAGAAGTCACAATAAACAGTCAAGGCTGTGCTCTGTTCTGCTATTAAAAGTAAGACAGAACTCTAAAAATGGGCTGTGCTCGAAACAAGCTGTACTGATGGTGGTTTAGTTATTATCCCCTCTTCAGTGAGGTGCCATCAGTACCAAAGGAGTGTGTTGAACAGTTAAAAGAAAGAAAAACTTCTAAAAAGAAAATGATTCTCCCTTCTTTTTTTTTTTTCCCAAAATATTTCTCTCAGGTAAAGGTTGTGACAGGAAAGGATGGGCAGACTGGTACTCCTGTCGCTATAGCAACCCAGCTTCCTCCAAATGTTTCTGCTGCTTTTTCATCCCAGCAGCAACCATTTCAGGTACTTTTCAATGGTTCTAAAATGTAGTTTCATCCCAGATTTTTTTTCTTCATTCAGATTTGATATTTCTTAGATGAATTAGAATTTTCCCAAGAGCCCATCCCTTATCATCTAAACAAAACCAAAAAACCTTTGCAGTCTTCAAATGCATCAGTATAACTGAAGCCTTGAGGAAGTTAAAGCTTTGTCTCCAGGTTGCTGGCTTATTGCATTAACTTTCAGCTTGAATGTTTTCACTTTGGTTTGTTTGTCTTTTGTATCCCTAATGCATTTGGTTCATTTGTGCATTCTGCATAGTGATAATATGGATTCTTTGTCTGTGGCATTGTAATTGTGGATTTCTTCTAAAATTCTTTTCTTTTTTTTTCTTCCCCTTATGTATTAAAGGTTTTGAGTGTGGCTACAAAAGAATTTGGATTTGCCTTCCCTGAAATGTGTTAAACAACAATACTAATCCTCTGACACTATTTGTTTTAAATAATTAACTGCTTTCCATTAGCTCTGCCATAAATGTTGGGAAGAAGAAACAGAAGTGCTTATTTTTATTTTAAAAATCCTTTTTAACAATTTTTTTTTTTCATTTTTCATGAGGAATACTGGAGAAAGCCAAGAAATAAATGTGATAATAAGTTAAAATTTTTATGGATCAGTGATGATGCAACTTTTCAGTTTGGTGTGGTTTTATGCAGCTGCCTTCAACTCTGTTACCCAGACATCATGCCATACATACCCTGAGAAGTAATATACCCTAATTCCATCTGTAACTAAAATATTTACCTTTTAGCTCAATTATATGCTTAGCAGGTGTTACAGGGTGATTTACTGTGCTGTACCATAGCAGCTGTACAGGCTGTGCTCCCTTTTATCTAGGCTTTGGAAATGGATAGTGAAATGAAATACAAGCTGGGTTGTGTTCCTGTGTGTAACAAATGTCATGTTCTCTGTGATGTTGTACAAAGGAGTTGTGCAGCAAAGGGGATTGCACTGAGACCTCTTCCTTAGGGCCAGTACTGATATATCTTGGAAGTCTCCTTAGGTAGTCAGGCTTCATTTAAGCTGTTTAAAATACCTAATATTGTATCAAGTGACTTATTGTAGTGATTAGGCTTATCACCAAGCTGTAGCTCCAGCAGTGATGATACTTCTGAAGGTATTGTACCGTGTCAGACCAGTTTCAGGGCAACTGGTTCATGCTAAAAATGTACAAAACTCTCTGTGTGGTACTGACCTTTTGGCACAAGCTGCTAACAGAAAGTGGCATTTCTTTCCATCAGTCCTGGTCTTTGCAGCTGTTTATGGAGAAATTATGTGCCCCAATCAGCATCACCATTCAAATCCCAGTGCAGAAGTGCAGCGCTCCGAGTGATTATTGTATGCGTGCTGCATAATCATGACCTCGGGACAGCTACATTATTTTAATTAAAGTTGGGACAGTTTTAGTCTAATATTAGTGGTATGTGACTGCAATTTATAAAGACATAACATGTCTGCTCTCTGAAGAGTCTGGCCTAAATTACACGGTGATAATGCAGACAGCTGGGAGGCATATTCTTGAGAAAATGTCAGTCAAAAATCCTAAAGTAGAGATACAGCCAGAAACTGTGAGTATGCAGTCATCCAGAGGGGGAGAGCAGGTGAAATAAATAGCATTTAATGCGGAGTTTGAAGAATATAATTTCTTAAACTGATGTCCCAGTAGCATTTGATGCAAATGGGACATAAACTGAATTTGTTAGTCAATTTAGTATCATTTACAAAATCAGTTATTGTGGCTTATTTTGAAAATTCTATAAATTCCCAGGTCTATGATGCTCTGCCAGACACTGGCTGTTGGATCTGAAATATGCTGCACGTCTACCTTATGACAAGACAAGTATTTGAAAACTTAATCCCTGTTGAGTGTGAAATGGCAGTGAACCATGGATATGAGTCAGAGATACTTAAAACCAGAATTTACATCTTAAGGCTGTAGCTGTATCGCTGGAGTGGCCACAAATGCCCTCAGAGCAGCAAAGGGATTGTTATTAATTCATAGCTATTGCTGGAGTCTGAGGGGCATGAGATATATTCAGCTCCAAGAGGAGCATTTGAAACACAGTCATTGTAGGTGATGTTGGCTGTGATTATAATGCCATGCAGTGAAGCACTGAAGATGCAGGATGTCACTGCTGTGTTATATTTCAGTATAGACTGGTGTTTCCCTCTGTGGGTTTAATTTACAGTGGTAAAATTTTGGTTAAAATCAGAGAAGGAAATACCTGTGAATTAAGTAAAGCATTTTAATGGGAAATTACTGTCTATGTTGTCATAAAAATTTTTCACAACATTTGCAAACCCTTACTATACCTCAACATACTTTAAAGCATGATACATTAAACATTAAGGCTCTCACCATTAGAAAAGTCCACTCTGAGAACTAGAGTGCTAAATTAATTCATTTCCCAAGATGCAGAGACTGCCAGACATAAAGTCTGTGTTTGTATTTTTTGATGGAATCTCTTAAGGCATTTTTTGGGATAGACCTTATTTTTCTCATTAAGTTTCATAGTAGAATATTTGGTACAGCATGGCCAAATATTGAGGAGAATTTAAAAGTAACTTGGAAACTCACTGAAAGGAATTGGACTTGCACAGACACTGATGGACATTAATAAGTACTTGCCAGTGTGCTGAGAGCCCAAAGAGCATGAAAACTGTCATATACCCAAATTTGTTTGCTACAGTAATCCTGTACATCAGCCTGTCAGCTATGCTTGATGCTGAAAGGATTCTCTGGGATAGGTTCTTGCCATCATTGCTGATATTAAATGTAGTGATTTAAAAATGAAGTTTGAATGCAGTGTGTAATCTTACTGAAGCTAAATTCCAGCTTGCTGAATCAGAGCCCAGTGATTCCTTTTGCATTTCAGTATCAATAGTGCTCATCCAGGCTTGTTAACTCATAGTTTGTGTGCTGTTTATCCTCAGACAAAATGGATAGTAATTTCTGGTGAGCTCTGATGTCACCTTAGCCTTATGGCAATATTGTTTCTCCTCACTGGGTTTGTTCATGAGACTCATTTTGCCAGCTGCGCAAACAAGTACAAGTCCAGCATCTGGAAAACTGGAACTGGAACTTGTGTACCTTGGCTGAGGTTCTTTATTCCATTTCCTAGCTTTTTCCTGAAACATTTTGATGGTAACTCTCACAAAATTCTATCCTGAGAGTGAGAGTGCTGGAGACTCAAATAAACTGTTTTCAGAATGAGAATGAATTTGTGTGTTACTGATGTTCCACACAGATGTAATACACTAATGAAAATTTCCATTAAATAAAGGGAAAAGGTAACAAAAAATACTGGGCAAGTTTATTTTGTCCATATCCCATTTTCCAGAGTTTGGGATCACTTAACAAAATGTAGGTGTGCATTATATATAACCAACTTCATCACTGTAAAATTAAAATTCAACAAAGAGTATCTGTGCATTGTGGACTGCTAAAACTTCATAGCAGATATTGAATAAGTCTTATTTCCTTTGTTGTACAGCTGTTCTGAAGGACTTGTTCTGTGCTGGCCTCCTTAGATCCATTTGTAAATTCTCTCCTGGTGTCAGACCATCTGCAGATTGAACTTCTGTGATTTGTTTTCTTTTCCCTGTAGCAAACGCATACAGGGACTGCAGCGACGGGGACTGTGAGCACCATAGAGATTGAAGCTTTTAAGAGACAGCAGCAGGCCCTTGCACCAGCAGGTACGTTCCACAGGCACAACTCCACTCCCATCCTCCTTTTTTTCCAAACAGTGACTGGAGCCCACTGTTGCGTAACTCTTGAAATACATTTTTGCCTCACCTTGGGAATCACCGGATCCTTAGGACTATCTACTGTGACTGGTGCTGTGGGAAGAGTGCACTCCACTCCCAGTAGATAGGCCTGGATTTGGCAGGCATGGAAACATGGTTAGGTTGATTGTTCTGGCTGAGAAGATTGGAGATGGCCAACTTGAAGTCAGAGGGACTCTGCCCCTGGAGCATGTTCTTCATAAATGCTACACATGTACAGTAGTTGTAGCTTTCGGAGCTGATGTTGGAATCATGTGTAGTAGTTTGCTTTGTAAAATTGAACCCATTCCATTATACCATGCCATAAATGGAATTTGAATATCACAGATTCGTCTAAGAGACCACGAATTGAAGTGGGCCGTCATGGGATGGTTTTTCAGCACCCGGGTGTGGCTTCAGGAGTTCCTCTTCAACAGCTAATGCCAACAGCACAAGGTACTGTGTCACCACATGCCAGTTGCACATTAATTTCACAAGGAGATGTTGGTGATGGAACTAGAAACTTGGGCTTCCGGCCTGCCAAGATCCTAGTCCCACCACACACTTCTCCATGTAAATTAATACTTGGTATGCAATGCCTGATTTGTTTAAGGAGCTGAGTGACGGGCTCCAAAGGTGCATGTGGGCATGGAAATACGTCACAGGTGCTGATACAAAATGGCCAATCTGAGAATTCTGGAACTGAACCAATGATTTATGAAAAGGAAATCACAAAATTGGAACATCATGACAAATTTTTATTCGTTAGTCATGCCAAGCCTTAGAATATGTGTTAGAGTGAATGTGTTCTTAGAAAGACCTAAGTAGCATTTAGACGTTATGCTGGTTTTTGAGGTTAAATTCCATTAGCTCACCAGTCCTTTTTTTTTTTGAGTATACAAAATTTAGAAGACCTATAATGACATGCTCTTTTTTAGTTGCTGTGCTCCAAATTCTAGTTACAGTCCTGTGCATGAAGTACTTTGTTGTTTATTGTAATGGTGATTTATTTTGTGATTGTGATGTGGTATTTTCAAGTGATGGTGTCTTGTGGCAAAGTAAGTAACAAAACCATTCTATTTGCAGTCGATTTCCTCCTTAAATCAACAGAGAGCATGGGACGTTTTAGTCTCACCTGTACCTTGTCTCCTCTTGCCCTGCAGGTGGGATGCCTCCCACTCCCCAGACGGTGCAGCTGACGGGGCAGAAGCAGAGCCAGCAGCAGTACGACCCCTCCAAGGGCCCTCCGGTGCAGAACGCGGCCAGCCTGCACACGCCACCGCCGCAGCTGCCGGCGCGCCTGCAGCCCGCCAACGTCCCCATGGCATCACTCCCGGCCACCCTGCAGCTCCCGCAGCAGCAGCCTCAGCTCGTGGAACCTCCAGCCCAGCCACAGATCCAGGTGAAGATCCAGCCCCAGAGCGTGCCCCTGACGGCCGCTCCGCTTCCAGCGCCGCTGCAGCAGCAGGTGCCACCAGCAATCCACGTGCAAGGACAGACGCCCAACCAAGTGTCGCAGCCGCAAGCTGCGATACAGCAACAGGTACGGGGGCGTTGGTGGGGTGGATGTGTTTGTTTCCATGGCCAGTGAAATCTTAAGAGCCATGTCTTCATCTTTTAATTCCACTGAACACTTAAATCCTTTCTGCTGTAGTGTAGACTAAGTTTTGAATCCTCAACTCATCAGTAACCAGTGTGTTTCTTGGGCAGACTGTGACTCTGACACGACCATCTGCAGATCCTACTCAGAGCTCTCAGCGTCTTGCAGCAAATCCACTGCCACCTACCTCATCCATCGCTCCAGCAGCGATCCCAGGCACAACACCGCCTTCTCCATACCCAGTGCAAACAAACAGGACCTCTCCAGCAACCAACAAGTCCCTGTCTCCTATTGCATCCAAGCCTCCTGGCTTAGCAGTAGCAGCAGCAGCAGCAGCAGCAGCACCCAAAACACAAAGTCCAGCTCAGAATGCAGCAGTGTTGCCGCAGGAAAACACTCAAGACAAACTGGCTGAGCAAGTCAAGCTGGTAAGATATTTTCTGTGTCATGCTTTTGCACTTTTTCTTTTCCTGTCAGTTAATTTAATAAATTGGAAGCAGTTAATATTTTTCTCCAATTCCGTGACTTCAGGTGCATTCTGTAGCTTCATTGTAAGTCTCTGTACTTCTTTCTAAGGAAAATCAAATCCATCAGCGGATAGCAGAACTGAGAAAGGAAGGTTTATGGTCCCCCAGGCGACTGCCTAAACTCCAAGAGGCTCCAAGACCAAAATCCCACTGGGATTATTTGCTGGAAGAAATGCAGTGGATGGCAACTGATTTTGCGCAGGAGAGAAAGTGGAAGATGGCAACTGCTAAGAAGGTACTTGAAAAGCATTTTATAACTCAGAACAATAAATGTTGATATCACTCAATTTGGGAGCAAAGCTATTGAGACATCTTTTGGTACAGAGAGAAGTAAAGGAAAAGCGTGGCACGAATTTTTACCTTAAATGAGAAGTTATGTTGTCAGTTTTGGATATGGCACTTGAGACAGACTGGATAATTGTACAGAGTGTGGATGCAAGTAACAGTTTATAGATTTTATTCCTCAGTAAATCAAACAGTTGTTTAGGAACCCACTCAATATGTTGGTTGGGTTATATTTAAATAAAAAATAGAGTTGTCATGTCTGTCTCACAAATGAGTTATTTCCTGCCAATAAAGAGTAAATACAGAATTTTGTAAATAACTTCCTTTGGGTGTGGTTGTCTGTCCAGTTCTTTTTTCTTAATCTCTCTGAAAAATAAGAGTAAAGACAGTAGTGGAAACATAGTAGAGAACTGTTTCCATAGGAGAAAAGAGCAGCACAGCAGAAATACAGTAGTGGAATGAAAATTTGTATGGTGTGGGATGGAAATATTTAAAATCTGTTAATTTACAGTAAGCAAGGGTTTTCTATGGATACCAGCAATGTTGCATCTTTTTTTGATACGTTCATGACCAACTTAGGGTAATGAAGAGAGCAGCTGAAGGTCATTAGTTTAGATTGCCATGTTGTTTCTACTGTATGTTTTGAAATGATGGAAGCTCACAAGCAAAATATTGAAATAAGTGTATTGTTTTGTACAATAAATATCTGCATTTTGAATATAATTTAAATCTGAATTTCCATTTGTGGCCAATGGTAGGTTTTTAAGAATAGGAGAAACAGGAAGGGCAAATGTGAAATGATCCTTTCCCTGGCACTATGCTTCAGACTTCTGGAAGTCAATGTTTTAGGGACCTCCTGAGCTAAAGGTTGCAGTCAAGTCAGTCTTAACAGCCATTGACTGATCTTTCACTCATGTATGTACACTCTTTTTGAACTCATTTTAGCTTTGGTCTCTGACATTTTGTGGTGTGATTTCTGTGACTTCATATGTGCTGTCTGAAAAAAAAAATATTTCTTTTGTGTGTCTGCTGCTAATTTTAGTGTAATTTTTTTCTAATTTTTGTATTCAGAGAGTGAATTAAGAGTTTCCTACTTGATTGCTTAGTTATAGTTGAATTTTTTTTTTCTTTGAGTTTCATGTCTGTTGCTTTACTGGCATGGTAAAAATTAGAAATATTGGAGGTAAGTGCATTGTGTGTAAAGCTATGGTCAACATCTGGCTGCTGATTATCACTATAATCTTAAGAAATGCAGTGATATGTATTTTGGGGTAACCTAATTCAGTATTTCATGGTACTTTAGATGGTAAGAACTGTGGCTCGTTACCATGAAGAAAAGAAACTTAATGAAGAGCGAGCTAAAAGGGAAGAACAGAACAAACTGAGGAGAATTGCAGCATCCATTGCTAGAGAAATAGAGTATTTCTGGTCTAACATTGAGCAGGTAAAGTACCTACACTCTAAGACTTGTGCAATTGGTGGTGTTTTTTTAATCTTCAGTAGTTTATTTGTAAAATTAAAGTGCTTTATTAGACTTGGTTTGCATTTCAGGTTGTTGAAATTAAACTGCAAATTGAATTTCAAGAGAAAAGGAAAAAGGCTTTGAATTTAAAAAGATTTTCAAGGAAAGGTAATTGTATTCCATTTCATAATAAATACAGTCTGAATTCTGATGATATTATTTTATATAATTCCACTCAGTGCAGCTTAACTAGTTAACAGTAAAATTGTGAGTTGCTAATAATAGCTTGTGAGTAGATCTGAATCATGAGTTATGGGTTTTTATATTTTTGTGTTAGATTTTATTAATACTTTTTGTGTTTTGCTTTGAATACATTTAAAAATTAATGCAAGAAATGTAAAATTGCTAAGTGATGAATACATACATCAAGTGTAATAATTTTCCAGGCAAGGATGCAAAAGAGGACCTTTATTTAGAAAAAGAAAGTGAAATGGTAAGTCTTTCTGTTTTTTTTAAAAGCTATCAAATTAGTTTAAATGTGACTACATATGTGAAAGAGTTTTGGTAAAGGTGATTTTTTTTTTTAATATACATGGCGATGATAAGATGATTTCACTGTAGTTACAAATGAACATTCAGTCACAAGTATAATTTTTCTTTTCTGGTTAGGAAGGAAAGTGGATTGTGGCTGGTACATATCTTTAATGGCTGTGAATCATTCATTCTGAGATTGAAGACCAAAAAACTTTACAAATTAATTGCCAGACTTGGGCAGGAGTTTCATCTACAGTAGCCAGGGGTGGACTTTGTGGGGCATGAAACTCATTTTCAGATGTTTAGCAGAAATTTATCTGCTGAGAGATGGAGGTGTATGTTGCAGAATGGATCAAACTGAATGAAACAGATATCTTTTTCCCTGGATGGAATGTGTGCTAAGGACTCCTTGGCTGTGTCTGTGCAATTGGAAAAAAAAATGGACAAAGGATTTGAGGCCCTGAGCCATCTGTTGTGGCACAGATGATGCCCATGTGCTGGAATACTCCCCCTCCACCAAACAGAATGCCTGCATCTGAATTTCCTGCTAGGAACAAGCTTTAGCATGTGTTATCAGCCAAACTGTGGCCCAGCATTGGCTGTGAGAGTTAATTGGCACAGGCTAAGCAATTCTACAGAGTGCACTGGATGCTGAGACAATTGTAGGCCTGTGCCATATCAGTTTTTTATTGACTAGTGAAAAAATTCAGTCCTTGAGCCAGCCTGAGTAAAAGTTTTTTACCACAGCTGGACCTGAATAATTTGACCCACAAGCAGTGACTGCACACTCCCATCAGTTGAGAAGCAAAGTTTCTGTTTTTGCATGACCAGGGGAGTGCTAAGAGGTGTTAAGTGTGTATCAGCAAATGCTTTTGGGACTGCAAGGCATGTTTTGTTATCTTTAAAAAACAAACAAAGCCCCCTGCTTATCTTTTGTTTTCTATTATTTTAAATATTACAATTATTTAATGTTAGGGGTGTTCATCATCTGGAAGGAAAAGAAAGGCAAGCACATCTTTGACTGATGAGGAAGGTAAGTCACTTCTCAAAATTTTGCATCCATAACATAGTGCATAAGTTGAATATTAAACCCACAGGTTTTGAGTCTGTTATTATGTGAGTGCAGTGCTTTTCACAAAACAAATACCAACATTCATTTTCTAGAGACATTAGATAGTCAATTAAATAGTAAATTATACCTAAAAGAGCTCCAGTGAAAATTTGAAAATAGGATTTTCCTTGAAATTACACTGCCATCATTATTGGTGGATTTTAATTCTTTATGTCCTCATTACTTTGTTTGTCAGGCCTCACTTATGGTCTTTAAGTTCTTTTGAAGATTTTAGACTGAAATACCCATCTGCTTTGGGTCCTTCCGTCTGGTGACCACTCTATCATATTCCTGACAAAGGAACTCCCCTGTTTAAAGCTACAGAACAACCTGTGGTGAACTCTGTCAATCAATACTTAACTGCCTTCTATCCTGAGGCAGAAGTGTTTCTCTCCTTCATTTATCTTTTAAATACTGAATATAGGTACTCTCAGATTATCTTGTTTTCCCATATATATTTAATTATTTTTAAATCTTGCAGACTTAGAATATTCTGTGCTTCACTTCAGGAGTATAGAATTACAAGCCTCCTGAATTATTGTATAATTTTAATCCAAGATTTGCATTTGTGTTTCTTGTAGTTGAAGATGAAGAAGAAACAATTGAAGAACAAGAAGCTAAAGAAGGAAACATAAACCATCAAACTGAATTGTCTAATCTGGCCAAAGAAGGTAGGCATGTGGCTTGATTCTTCTCTGGGCTAGGCTCTGAAACAACAGCTGGAAACATATAGTTCTTGTTACATTTATAAAGAGGATTAGAGGTGGGAAATTGAGTGCATTCAGATGTTCAGTCCTGTGTAGTCTGTATTTAGTTTTTTCTGTCTGGAAAGCTGCAGCAGTTTATGGGATGATGATGGACATCTGCACTTTATAAAGCAGTCCGAGTTATCACACAAGGTGGCTTGAGAAAAGGTAGTTCTTTAGTGATGCTCTGCATTAAAACCTTACACCAGGACTCTATCCGAGTTCTATGAGTGCAAGATAAACACTTAAAACCAGGGTTGTATCAGATTGAACATGGACATTTTATCATCACCTGTCTTGAGTATCTCAGAAGGGTTTTGTGACTGACTTGTTAGGTCTGAAAGGGCGCTTAAGTGCTGGGGGTGGGTATAAATATCTGAAGATAAGGGGCTTTTAGGGACAGTGCTCTGGCTAGCAGCTCTCTCATTAGCAATGTAATTGCTATGCTGAGCTTGATGTGTGCAAAGTACCCCTTAGAGATGTGTCACTTACCCTGGTAAAAGCACATTTTTAGAGGCAGGCTGCCCATTAGGCTGAGCGTGCCTGGCCATGAACATGCGGTTTCCAAATCTGTTTGTTTGGTCTGTTTGGCAGCTTAGTGGCTGCAGTGAACTGGCCAGTTGGAGGGATTATAACCCTTGGCCAGTTCAGCCAAGCTCCTAATGAGAGTGTTTGCTGATTTTGCTGATTGATTGGCCACTGCCAGCATGTACATTCCTACTTAACAGCTCAGACAAGGGATCCTGGAGTTACAATCCAGTTTTGAAATTCAGTCTTGAAACTTTTGAAGTCTTGCATTGTCTTCCAACCACTCAGGTGGATTTGGTGCCCCTACCTTCCCAACTGGGGTTTTACTGAGGGTTGTAGGGTGTTTTTGTAATACAGTAAAAGCAAGGCATGAGAGCAAACTGCTTGGTGTAATGCCAAATGTTCTCTGTAATCAAGGTTATGAAATAAATACTGCCATCATTCACTTAATTATTACCTCTGAAGTTAACTTCTGATTAGAGAACTGGCAATTGTGAAGAATGTACTGAGATTATAGTTAATAGTATCTATTGTTCCAAGTTTCGGTATTTTTAAACTTTCATCCTTTAATGACCTTCAGCTGAATTGCCTCTGGAAGATTTGGTAAAGATGTATGAAGGTGCCTTTGCAGAAAATTTTCACTGGCCGCAGCCGAAGCCTGACAGTGAAGAGGAGAGCAGTGAGGAAGGTAAATTACTCTATGTTTAGAAGTAGTTGTGCTGATTTAGAAGGTGAAATAAGTTGTTTGGCTTTTCAGGACTCTGAAAAGACATTTTGTTCTAGGGGAAAATGCATATTGAGTGAATCACATTTAAAATTTCTCAATTTGTGAAAAGAGGGCAGTGTTTGCCTACTTTAAAGCGAAGATGTGTGAGATTTTCAGGAACAATGCTAAGCTGTAGAAAAGCCTCTCTACACTGAATTAAACATTACACTTCATAGGTACCTATAATTACACCTCTGTTCTATGCTAACATGATGATAAAGCTACATACTTGAATATAGGTTTTAAGTAGAATGAGAAGACCTCCCTAGAGGTTGTGAAAAGCCAATGGTCATGTTAGCCTAGCTGGTGTGAATGTCCAGAATATGTATATGAACCTGAGCTTAGGTCATTTGCATTTTACCTGAACTAGCTTGAAAATCATAGAATTGCTTTTGAAAGTTAGCTGCTTCTTTAGACCCATGTCTGAATCCTGATCTTCTTAGTCCCTTTGTGTGATTGCTACTGAAATTTATTTTAGATTATACTCCAATTTTTCTCTCTCTCTCCTAGAAATGGAAGACCACATGTCTGATAGGGAAAGTCCCCAGAAAGAAGTTGTCCTCATAGACTCCCTTCTCAGCATTGACCAGTACAAGGGCCTGGACAGATCGAGTCCTCCCAAGAAGAACATGCGAGACATAGCAGAAGTTGCTGCTGCAGCAGAGATGTTGTTACCTAAAGGCAGCTCCAGGATAACAACAGCAGTAAGAATCCCTATTTTCTGCTACTCTGTGTGCTGATATTTACATAAAGAATGCTTTTTTCTTCATTATTTTGTAGCTTTTAGCAAGAAATTGCTTGCTTTTGCTTTTTTTTTTTTTTTTTTGAGTTACCTATAGAATGTTTATCTTTATGCCACGCTCTGTGAATTCAATTCAGGAAAAAATAACAAATCACTCACATTCCAGGTAAAATACAACACTCCGTCACTGTTGTATGGGTCTCTCAGAGAATATCAGAAGATTGGGCTGGATTGGCTGGCAAAGCTGTACAGGAAGAATCTCAATGGCATCCTGGCAGATGAGGCAGGGCTTGGGAAAACAGTGCAAATTATTGCCTTTTTTGCCCATTTGGCTTGTAATGAAGGTAAGTTCATTTGGCTAACAGTTTTAGACAGGTACTAGGCCAGCATTATCTCTGTGCATTGTAGCCTAGGGTCACCTGTTTTTCCTTACTGAACCATATCAGGCTTTAGTTAATGACAGGAGTAAGTTTGTGTCAGAATAACTTTGATATTTTGTGACAACAGTGCTATCTAGTCAAGTATAGTGTCTGATCAACCTGTTACACTTTAGAGATTCTTCTGAATACTTCTAAATTCTTACTAGTACAGAAAAGCCTTACAAATTGTTTAATGACCAGGAGTAGATTAGTCATTAAAATACCTCTGTTTGTTGTTATTCGATCTCACTTATAATGCTTAATTTAATGCAATGCACTTAAGAAATCAAGGTAGAATATAAGCTACTTACATTAAGGAGTCTATTTCTAGTGTTAACTGCTGTGTTTCCCCTTCTGTAGGGAACTGGGGCCCTCACCTTGTAGTTGTCCGGAGCTGTAACATACTGAAATGGGAGCTGGAATTGAAACGCTGGTGCCCGGGCTTGAAAATACTTCTCTACTTTGGGAGCCAAAGAGAACTTAGGGCAAAAAGACAGGTGCTGGATTTTGCAACTCTTACACTGTTGCCTGAGACATTGAGCCTGTATATATCTGTCTTTTTTTAAAGAAGAAGTAGCTGGTTATGAGACATTTGGGAATTCTGCCGTAACTTTTCTGTCTCATCCTTTCTTTGCTTTTCCATAGGAATGGATGGAACCCAACAGCTTCAATGTGTGCATCACTTCCTACAAGCAGTTGTTCAAAGGCCACACAGCATTCATGAAAATGCGATGGAAATACTTAATAGTAGATGAGATGCAGCAAATAAAGAATATGACTGAGAAACACTGGGAGGCACTTTTCAGTCTCCGCAGGTACAGAGCAGAGAATTGATTTCCTACTGGCAGTGGGTTTTTCTATTTTCATGTCACACAGTTCTCTTCTTAACAGAAAGCTGATTTATAAAAACCCTCTTGACTTGGTCTGCCCAAATTCCTGAGCAACGTGCACCTATGGAGAAGTGCTTTTATTTAAAACAATCAGGATTCAGAGGAATGCTTGAGATCTTTTTGTTTCCACTATCATATCACTGTAATTCTTTGCTGATATTCTGTGCTCCCAAACAGATTCCCCCTTATGTTCTGATACTCTGCAATGAAGAAGCTATTCGGTGGTATATTCAAGATTGAAAAGATACTTTATCCTAGGTTTAATTTTATTATATTTACACAATTCTTCTGTGTCTCTAGTAATCATAAAGACATAGTAATCAGTCAATTAAAAACCTTCTTTTGTTCACAGCCAGCATCGTTTGCTTCTGATAGACACTCCTTTGCATAACACATTGATGGAGCTGTGGACCATGGTTCATTTTTTGATTCCGGGAATTTCCAGACCTTACCTGGATTTTCCAGTAAAAGCACCTAATGAAGAGAACCAGGATTATTGCCATAAACTGGTCATCAGGTTGCACAGAGTATGTTGTGATTTTTTCTCATGTGTCCTACTACAGTAGTAACGCTGTTGAGGAGAAGGGGAATGAAAATACGTGGTTCAGAACAGAATTTGTGCCCTATCTTAACACTTTGTTCAGTTTAGACAGAAAATCCTGCTGAAAGCAGAGGGTTCTGCTACCAGAAGAGTATGGAGATTTCTTTTTAAAATAATACAAGGCTCAGATTTTGAAGCATGCCATGCAGAAATTAAAGAGCAAATTAATGTCTATACAACTGTGTGCATAGCAGTATGATTATATATAGCATATGCAGTTTATCACATCAAATCTGTTAGGTGTGAATAAGTTTAGCTTCCTGTTGTAAACTCTTTGAAGTGAGAATTTTTTTCCTCTCAATTCTGAAACGTTTCAGATGATTCAGCCATTTATTTTGCGGAGATCAAAGAGGGATGTTGAGAAGCAGCTCACAAAGAAATATGAACACGTGCTCAAGTGCCGTCTGTCTAGTCGACAAAAAGCCATGTATGAGGATGTCATATTACAACCAGGGTAAGGGCTTGAAACAGTAAACATAAAATGCTGTCACTTTTAGTGCTTAAGCAGGGAAAAAAATTACTGCCATGGGGGGAAGTGTTTTAGTGTTTCTCTGAAATTTTCCATTATGATCTGTGAATAAAATGTGATTGCATTATAGACTAGAATTACAGCAGGTGATGCTGTGGCCTAGTGAAAAACATGCATTTACTTCTGGAACCTAAGAATTGAGTTATGATGGTCAGCTCTTCTGCTGCATTGTTTTAATATTTGTCTCCAATGGGTGATTCTTCATTTTTTTAAAGCCCAGAGCTTTTCCTCACCACCTCCCCACCAGTGGTAATTGATTGGTGCAGGGGTGAAACAAACAAAGCAGAGAGAGGATGGGGAGCTGGATAGGTTGTATTTGATTGTAAGGCAGCACTGGGTCTTTAGGTTTCACTTTTCCAAATTTACTTTCAGTACAGTGCTGCTTAAAATACTGCAGAAGACCTCAGTGAAATCTAAACTTGTTTTAAGACTTTCACATAACATACTGCATTGCTCATTCTCACCTTGCTGATTTAGGGACATCTCCATAAAAGCTGCACATAAATCAATATCTTTCTGTATAATTTATTTGGCAGAACCCAGGAAGCCCTCAAAAGTGGGCACTTCATCAGTGTCCTGCACGTCCTGATGCAGCTGCAGCGGATTTGTAACCACCCTGATCTGATAAACCCCCGGCTTTCAAGCTCCTCTTATGTATCACAAACACTGGAATACAGAACAGCCTCTCTGGTGCTGCGAGCCCTGGAAAGGGATATTTGGAAGGTCAGTAGAAAAATTAAGGTTTTTTTTTTCCTCTCTTAATGCCCTGGCAGAATTTCAGTACTTACTGTTTTCTTATATGTGATAACTCTACCTGAAGTTTATAAATAGAAGGAATTCACTCTTCATAACTGTGGCTACCAAGTGTGTTCTTGCTGCATCTCTTTTTTTATCATAGTGGTTTGAACTCCTCAAGTGGTTTGTAAACAGTAATTTTTCATGAACTACTTGGTCAAAGAGAAATTACCTTTGCTTTCATCATGTCCATGTTTGCAAGAAGTCACTCTGGGTAGTGCTGTGCTTATTTACGGCATTCTGTAATTTTCTTTTTGCTTTTACTAGCTGAAGGAAAGCAAGACTTACTCTTTTTTACATAACAGTAAACATTCTGTTACAATGACTAAATTAGTACCCTTCTGTCAATCCATTTGAAGTACCACTATTTCTGTTATTGTTAAACAAGTGATCCCACTCCTTGACATGATAAAAAATATAAAAGAAGTATGAGTAATGGAGCAGTTGACATTTTTTGTTTAATTTTATTTCTATCCTTCATATTTTTCTACTCCTAAATTATAGTTTGGCATTTAAGCTTGATAGTTAACCTTCAAAGAGTTCTATTTAATTCTTTGGAAACCATGATATATGATGAATTGTTAAATGTGTTTTGCTTTAATTTCCACAACTGGCTAATTATTTAAGTTCTTTTTCTTCTAATGCTTAAAATGGGACTGTCAGTATAAGATTTATTTTCAAGGTTTCTGGATAGTTTTAGTTAATAATTAATAGTTTATTTCTTAAACTTTTATCATTTATTTCAAGTTAAAAAGTAAATATATAGAAATTTAATTCAGCATTGAACATAAACAGGACTTAACTGTTTGGGTCATCACATAAAACAATTTTTTGAAACCCCTAGGAATCGGACTTGTCTCTTTTTGATCTCATTGGAATGGAAGACAAAATGACTCATTATGAAGCACAAATGTTGCCAAAACAAAAAGTCACTAGAAAGCTGATTGAAGAAATCTACAGCTCCCCTCCACCACCGGCAAGACCCAACCCAGTGAAGCTCAAACCAAGCAGGTGTGTACACCTGCCCTCCTTCTAAGCTAGAATTACAGCAGCAAAAGGTGGCTCTAACCTCTACTGAGTTCTCTCTGCATCTCTGCTAGTGGGATTCATACAAAACCTCAAGCTTTGCATTATTTTTTCTCTTGCTTTTGTGTTTACCTCTGAAAATAAGAATTCTGTTCTTTGAGGCTTGCAATTCCATTTGAAGTTTGTTGATGGATTTCCCATAGCCTTTCCTTCAGCAGCAGATGAGCTTTGTTCTTGGACCTTGTTTATGGCAATTGAGAGTTGTTTTGCAGAATTACCACGAGGATAATTTAAGACTAAGTTGGGCCTGCAGTGTCAGCTGTGCTCTCACCGTTATGTAAGAGACATAAGAAGTTTTATTGCAGTACATTTTTGTAAAGTATTTTTCTCCTAGTGAAGTAGTGTTCTCAAAGTAATGTAGAACTGTTTTTCTAATGCAAGAGAGCTGCCCGATGACCTGCAGCATAGTGATGTCTCTCTGGAGATTATATGGGAGCCCTTTTTATCAGATATCTTCAGATATATCTTTTCCCAGATACTGACCTAGCTTCTTTAAGATGTTTGCTGTAATTCTGAAGCATCCAGCATTAAACTGGGTGTATGGCAATGAAAATTTTCTTTCTTGGATTTAGCGAGATCACTTTCTACAATGTTTACTCAGGATGCTTGTGAAGTGATGAGTCTTGCCAGCTTCAGCCATCTGCAGGAAGATTAGCATCTGACACAATCAGTTTATATGTTCCTCGGAGGACAGAGTTTGTGTCTAAAGGCCAAACTATGATCTTCCCGTAGTCTTTGACTGTTCCTGCTCTTGCCAGGTTGTTCCAGCCCGTTCAGTATGGTCAGAAGCCCGAGGGCAGGACTGTAGTTTTCCCAAGCACTCAAGTCCAACGCACGGTGACCACGGCGACGGTGACACAGCAGGGACAAGTGCGAGGCAGATCCCCCATAGCTACGGTGTCTTCAAATCAAGGTAAGGGAGCCAGTGCCACCCTGGTCACCTGCACCTCAGCCTAGACAGATACAAGCTAGTCTGTTTCATAGAACTCCTTTTCCCTCTAGCTTAATGGTCTAGAATACTAATGGCTTAAAAATACCAACAGACTAATTGCCAGTAAAATTCCCTGCTAGTTTCTCCAGTATGATCTGCCAGTATAATGCAAAACTAAGCTTTATGTAACCCGTTAGCATATGGAGTAAATAAGTCACAGTTGGTATTTAAACCCCGAAGACGTGTAATGCTCTGTCAAAGATGGGAATGTACAGTGCTTCTCTGTATTTATTTAGCTTTTAAACAATGCTTTCCAAGTAGATAATGTTGTAAAAATAGGATGGAGTAAGAGTCGTGGCTAGAAATCCCAGTCTGTAAGGACAAAGCCGTTCTTGTAGCCGTTTGATTATCCTGTTGGAAGGTTTCTTTTTAATGCAGGTTGTTAAAAAGAGTGGAGTTAAAACCTCTAACAGCTTGCACAAACAACCCTTATTGATTGCAGCTGCAGCAACACAGTTTCAGACAACTCAGTCTTCCACCAGTGCTCCAAGACACCAGCCCGCAGCGACCTTCACCACAGCAACTAGCGCAGCCAACCCTGTGAAACCGCGGGGCCAGACCTCTGCGCCGGCCCCGCAGCCGGGCCAGCCCCAGCCACAGCCACAGGTCCCCCCGCACACCATCCAACAGAGTGTGCTGCCTCAGAGGCTCGTACTGACCTCTCAGGCCCAGGCACGGTTGCCTAGTAAGTGGCCTCCCCTTTCAAGGTTTCTCCCACCTTTGTACTACAATGAGGTTAAGTTACTAGGCACCCTAAAATGTGTACAGAATCGTTGTTTTTTTTTCACTCTTCTGATTAGCCTTGCTCAGTACGTTGCTTATGACCAAGGAAAATCGAAAATTGGATAAGAAACAATAGAATTGCTGTGGACATACATTAGCGGTGTCAACTTAATCTCCTATTTCTGCATGTTTCTTCTGCTGGCAAGACTTCCTTCAGACCAAATGTTTTAGCTCTCTCCTAATTATTCCTTTCATGTTAAACACTAATCCATCTGCTAAAGGCCTCTCTGGCGGAGAGGAGTGTCGACACTGTTAGGCAGAGAAAAGCGATGAGGCTTTGCTTTTAGGTTGTATGTGCACTGCCTATTAGCATGTGTAGAGAGTACTGAGCAGTGATGTATTAATTTTATCTCTGGGGTAATGCACTGCCTTTACAAAAGCTGAATTTTCACACCACTATTTTCTCAGTATCGTAAAACTTAATGCTGAAATGCCTCTAACCTTCCTGCATTTAAATCACAAAAAGCTTGGTCCTTGCCACTTCAAAGCTTTTTGGTTTGTCTAAATGCAGATTGCTTAAAATAAATCATGTTTCATCAGCAAATTTCAAATGTGTATTTAATGTGCCAAACATAGGAATATTTTAATTTCTTCCATACCCCTTCCTTCATGCTCTTGAAAAGGCAGTGGAAATCACTTTAATACTTGTTCTGTTACAAAGTGTCACATGAGTTTTCAGGTAGCTCTTTTTTGCTAATGAAAGTGGTAATTTCTAAAATGTTGATGTTCTTATCCTTTAAACAATCAGCTTCTTTCCAGTTTGTCCAACAAATATAGAAAGCAATACCTGCTTAACTTCTATATGACACTTTTGATGCACTAAGTATAATTATGCATGGAAGGCGCTTCAGCACCAGTTTACTAACCAAAATGTAGAATTGTGAATATTGAACAACTCGCCTCCTACTTTGGTTTTTTTAATGCCTGTTTCCCTCCTTAACAGGTGGTGAGGTAGTAAAAATAGCTCAGCTGGCTTCTATAGCAGGAGCACAAGGCAGGATCGCTCAGCCAGAGACCCCAGTGACTCTGCAGTTCCAAGGGAACAAGTTCACTTTGTCACACAGTCAACTCCGCCAGCTCACTGCAGGGCAGCCCCTACAGCTACAAGGTACTTATTTCAACACAGGCAGTTTTCCATTATTCAGAATGCTCATGTTTTGATATGGGTACCACGTTCGTTGTTGCTGGAGATTTTTCCATCCCCAGTGCTTATGCTGTCTTGCTCTTCCTATTTTCTGTGAGCCAAGGTAGCTCTGGCTCGAAAAACAAATGCCTATCAAATGAAAGACATGGTTACTTTCTTTTTCTGTATTGTGTTTCAAAAATGTTATTTGATTTGTTTTCACACCCATGCAGTGCAGCTGAAGTAAGGTGAGGCATTATTTGATATAAACTCCCTGCTGAGCAGAAACAGAAAAACTGAGAACATTCTTGGTTTATTCTGAAATTGTGTAAATCCTACTTCAAGATTGGCATGCATCTGAATTCTGGCACAACTATTGCCCTGAGCTGAATGCTCTACCTACAATATATTTTGTTCTCAAATCTCCCTTGCTGGTGGTATGTATTGCCAAATTTAGGAGAATAGGCATATCTTGATTCTTTGTGGCAAACAAAATATATAGAGGGAATGTTAAGTGAAGATTTTTTGTTTGATTGGATTTTGTCCAAATTCTGTATAAATACCTAGACTAGAATGATACCCCTATGACATGAAACTCCTCTTCAGCTGTGAATACTTGGGTGTTTCCCTCCTTTTTTGGCAGATTGTTGTAATCAACATGTCCAGTAAAATTTAACATCGTAAAATTTAACATCGTTTGAAGCAATAATGATCAGCTTTGCAACACTAATAGATTTTGCTAGAGAACTCTTACTCTTTTCCACTTTCTCCACCCTAATGTGTGTTAAAATCCTCCACTGCAGGAAGTGTCCTTCAGATTGTGTCAGCCCCTGGGCAGCAGTACCTGAGGCCTCAGGGCCCCGTGGTCATGCAGACGGTTTCCCAAGCGGGAGCTGTGCAGAACGCCCTGAACGCTTTGGGAAACCAGCACCAGGCAGGTGTCCCAACTTCCACTGCAGTCACACAGCAAGGTGGGTTTTCCAGCCTGAGGAAATGTCTCTGTCTAAATATTCAATTGCTAGAAGCACATTCGTATATAACTCTAAATTGTTGCAGATCATAATTCTGTAAGTTGAGTGCAGAAGTGGGTAAACCATAAGGTGAATCCTGCCAGTTTGTACTTGGTGTGTGCTGGAGTTTTAAGAAAATTTTTAATACAAACTTGGGAGAGCATGTAACTTAATAATAGTTTTTTTTTTTTACCAGTTTTACCTTTGGTCAGTTTTGTTTTTTTTTTTTTTGGAAAGAACTAAATTTGGAATAATTTTGTTAATTTTTGCAAAGAAAAATCAAGGGTGATAATTTTTTTATACTGGCAGAGAATGTCCACTGATTCTCTCCATTTTTCCACATTAATTTTGCTTTTATCTAATTTCTTTCACTTCTGTAGCTGATCAAGCTACAGTTTTCCATTTGCCTCTGCAAATGTTTCTTAGGTATTTGGTGCCTTGCTGTAAATGTGATCAGTTCCTTGATTAAAAACACAACCAAGATGTTGATCAAAAATAATGGAGAAAATTAATGCATTTACAACAAAACAGCAGATTATTAAATGAAGATAAATATAACACTTGGAGTTTGTTCCCTGAAAATGGCCATCTGTTGTAATTTTCTTGGGATATAAAAACACATTCCTTTAAAATGGTGTGATGTTCTTACAATGTAGTTAACTGTTGGGGTAAACATCTGCTAGCAGTTAAAATCACAAGAATGCTACTGAGATTCCATCATATGATTTCACCAATTTGTAGATACATTCAGTTGATGTGTTTTCTGAAAAATTTTAGATTATTTGCTCAAGGTAGGTTAAAACAATCTTTTCCTGCATTAGAACATTTTCTATTTTCTATTGTGTTCTTATTAACATTCTCTAAATGTCAACATGTATTGCACCATACATGACATTTTGAATAAAGTACAAATGGAGCACAGTGCTTTGCTTTGTACAAAACAAAGTAAAATTCTGTTGATCTGTCTTGGATTTTTGTGAGAACAGTTAGTGTAAATATCTGTCAGAGGTCTGAGGTATAACAAAGTACAAATTTGCAATACTTAATGGACATTTTGACTGAAAATTTGTCTGCAGCAATGACTTGTTACAGCTATAAAATGTCTACTTATTGAAAATAATAAAGAGACCAATTTTCAGATGAATAAATATATAAACACAAGGTTTATCCTCAGTTTGTATTCCAGGTAGAGCTACAGTTACTAACTTGCCATCTGGTGACATGGGAGCAGTGTTAAAACCAGCACCTTTGCATGGACAGTCACAGGTATTCAATTTTTATTTTCTTGTGGAAACACAACTTTTCAGAATCAATAATAAGTCTGTGTAATAGTTGAAAGCTATAATTTTCAAAGTTGGAATTAATTAGGAACTTTGATGATTACAGAGTAGGTAAATATCCCAACTTCTGTCCATATTTCAGGTTGACAGATCTGATGCATTTGCATTTGTAATCCATAGATAAAATAATCTGGTGAATAAAAGCAGCTGACAGCTTTCTTGTGCTGTGATAGACAGGTTCTTGTAACTGTACTATATTTTAATTACGTAGTAATGCATAAATAAAGAAATTGTGTGGGTTTTTTGTGTTTTGAACACAATAGCAATTGGGAAAATTTTTATAGATTTCTAATCTTAACAAGGTTTTTGAAAAGATACTCAAGCAACTTACAAAGCCTAGGGGAACATCAAGAATATATCAAAAGCTATGAAAATGTACCTTTAAAAAGCAAGAAGATAGTAAACTAAGGTAGAATTGACTCTTTAATATGGACTGAATTCAGCTGTAGTCTTCAGATTTTATCTGAAATGTATACCTTTAATAATGGTCTAAGTAGTAGTTCTACTCTAGGCTCTATACTCTGATCCTGATAGTTCCATTCTAAAGAACCTCAAATCCCTCATTTGTTGTGATGAGCAGCAAATGTTGTTTTTATTCACCTTCTCTTGGCAAAGGAGACGTATGAGGAGAAGAACCGGCTCTTGAAGGAGCGCCTGGACAGGATCTTCTCCGGTAACGAGCGCCGCTGCCTGCGGGCCCCGATGTACGGCCGGGATGTGCTGAATGTTTGCTGCCTGGCTGGGGACAGAAAGGCCTCCCAGCTGCCTTCCAGTGAGGGCAACAGCTGGAGGTGGGCTGGCTTTGTCAACTGCTGCCTTTCCTCAAGTGCCTCCGGAGGCCCAAGTAACCCCTTGCGGGAAATGATCCTGGGTTTGGTTCAGCAACAGGAATCTCTAAAGGATCTTGTTAACAGGTAATGTGTGACTCTGCCTAATAAACCTTTATACATCTAGTTGTTTTTAAAACAACTTTACAAAAAGGCTTAAAACCTTGTTTATGTTGATGAGCTTATTTGGTTTAGACTGGTTTATTTAGCAGTAAATCATGTGCAGCGTGGAAGTAAAAATAAGTCACTTCTGATTCCTTTGGATCTTCATAAATAAGTGTTTTTAGTGCCTCTTTCCTTATTTCAAGCCCAAGTTCAGCTGGCTGTACTTAGGCTTACATTCTTATGCTTTAGATTTACTTGAATAGGTACTGCTTGGACCCAACTGACGAGTTAAGACCCAGAGATGCAGGCAGAATGTCATTTAGCCAAGCCTGACTTTTATTGCTATACCTGTGATTATTGATGATAATTTTGTGTGTAGCTTTTTAAATGGGTATTGCCTTGTTTTGATGCTTTTTGCAGGGCTCTCTTCGTGTTGCCCACTGCAGTTGCTGCTCCCCCATGTTTCTATGTAGCAAATCCTCCCCCTTCATACAGTCACAGACTGAAACTCCTTAAGCACAGCCTGAGGCAGAAGGCAGCTCCACACTTGCATCAGTTGCAACAGCTGACAACTCCTCACTTGCTGCAGTTCCCTGACCTCCGGCTGGTGCAGTATGACTCAGGTAAAGGACATTTGCTGAGAAGATTTCTGTAATTTCCTCTATCACATGAATGGAATTGCTATATAAAACCATTATTGTTTTTTCTTTCTGAATTATAGGAAAATTAGAAGCTCTTGCTGTCTTGCTTCAGAAGTTGAAATCTGAAGGGCGCCGTGTACTGATTTTGTCACAGATGATTCTGATGCTGGACATACTGGAGTTGTTCCTGAATTTCCATTTCCTCACCTTTGTGAGGATTGATGAATATGCCAACCAGGAACAACGGCAGGTAAGTGTTCCCTACCAGCTGCCCACTGGTACAGCAATATGTGCTGCCCAGGCTTTTATACGCTACAGCAGGGAAAGGAAATTTGCCTCCTTTTCTGCTCAGTTTGAAACACTTGACGTGTTTTTATCCAGCTTTTTTTATTAGGCTATAGTGAATTTGGTTTGGTATTTTATTTTGGTGTATGGTTTATTTAGTCCTTGCTTTTATTCTGTTTATGTAGGAGCTGATGAAAATTTTCAACAGAGACAAGCGCATTTTCTGTGCCATCCTCTCCTCTCACAGCCGTTCCACGGGAGTCAATCTTGTCGAGGCAGACACTGTTGTGTTCTATGACAATGATCTGAATCCAGTGATGGATGCAAAAGCTCAGGAATGGTGTGACAGAATTGGGAGATGTAAAGATATCCATATATACAGGTGATGGTGACAGACAACATCTGCTCTTTAACATGCTTTAATGTCAGGTTAGTTCAGATAGTGCTGCCCTGTATGATCTGGAATAAAGTGGAAACAGTGCTGAAAACCACCTCCCTTCAATAAAAAAGATGCCAAGATATCCTATGAAAAAATGTGAGGGTTTCACAGAAAGTGTAATAAATGAATCATATCTGCATGGGTTTTGTCTCTTGGTCTACATGGAATTTTTATGGAATCCTTTTCATTGTTGATTTTTGGTTAGGTTTGGTTTTTGATTATATAATTTATTAAAAGAAAACTCTAAAGTAAAGGTGGTAGTATGTTTTTTTCTGGGCCTACACCATAACTAAAAAAACTCCCATATGCTACCACATTTTAAGCATTTAGTGGTATTCTCTAAGGACAGTTTGTCTTTTTGTTTCTGAAAGCTGGTTTGGAAATTACTTACCAGATTTCTACTTTTTTTTCTTTTTTTTTTAGGCTTGTCAGGGGTAATTCTGTAGAAGAGAAACTCTTGAAAAATGGCACAAAGGACTTGATCAGAGAAGTAGCTGCTCAGGGAAATGACTATTCAATGGCCTTTTTAACCCAGGTAAGTTAATATTCAGAATGTATTGAAATAGCCATTTTGCAGTATTTAATAAACTCAAGCATCTGTGTTGGAGTGTTTAATAGCAGTTTAATAGAAGTCTGTCTGGGCTAGAATTAATAAAGAAGCATATTGGATTTCATGATTGCTTGAACTCTCAGTGTTGGGGCCACATTCTTTGAAATATTGTCCATCTGTTTTGTTCTGTTATTTGAATAATGATGCACAGACATCACCCCTGACATAATATACTGTGGTTTCTTCACCCTGCTGCAAAATTTTGCAGAGCTTGTAAGGATGAAGGTCTCAACAGCTTTAAAAATGTGAAATAAGTTTGGATATTTAGAGAGATAGGCTCTGAATTGCTGCTCTCAAGATACACGAGACAGTGACTGCACTGGTGAAGCCAGACTATCCTGGCTGGTGCTCCTGATATTGAAAAAAAATAGAATGCTCCCAAAAACTGAATGTATTTCTCTTTTTTCCTTCTATTTACCAAGCAAACAATTCAGGAATTGTTTGAGGTTCATTCTCCTATGGAGGATTCTGGATTTAGAGTGAAAGCAGAAGAATTTGTAGTACTTTCTCAAGAGCCATCTCCAGCAGAAAATATTTCACCTAAAGTTGCAAGACCATTCATAGAGGTAATAATTAACACACACATTAAAAATACAGCTATGCAACATTGGTTATAAAAAGCTGCCTAATCCCACTTTATTTGGGTAAATTCTGTCAGTCTCTTTTTCTGGTAGTTTTATGCTCTTTTGTCTTTCGCTTTGTGACAAAACTTCCAAAAGCCCAAAGTTGAGTTTTATAATTTCTGGGATGGTTTCTCTTGCTGCAGAAGAGACTTAGGAAATTTGTGTTGCATTTCAGTGAACTCCTTGTGGAGTTTCTTTCCATATTTTTGAAGTCTTAATTATTTTTAAAATATATCTTTCTGAAAGGCCCTCAATAGCATTGAACGAGAGGATGAAGAGTCAAATGATCACATACAAGAAACGGGATCTGAGTCTAGCATTGAACCTTTAATCTCAGAGCTCTGCGAGTCAAAATACAATGAAGAGCCCTCACAGCTGCAGGAGTTAGTTGCTGTTGTGGATCAGGTACAGTGACTTCCCTTGAATATCTAGCTAAAAAGTAATGTTTAGTTCAAATGTTTCAATTTCTTTGCAGTCTGACCTTAAAGCAGCTTTGTTGTTTCTCCCATTAAATGGAAGAGAGATCTCCTACCGATTTAAAAAGTTAAGATGAGTTTTAAGGAGAGCTTTGATACTTGATGTAACATTTCTTTTATTATCCTCAAAGTAACATTTTTTCCCTTTGATACTTCCCTCAGCTGACTCCAATTGAGAAATATGCTTTGAATTACCTGGAGCTCTTCCACGGTTCAGTTGATGACAATGAGCCACGGTTGAGTGAGGTAAAACAAATCTTTCTTTTCCATGTTATTCTGTCACAGAACAACATTTATTATATTTTCATTATGAAATAGAAGTTTCTCCAATGGTGTGGAATATATTGTAGGCATTTCTGTGATCTTTTCTTGCTATACCTTATGAACAGCATAATATCTTATAGAGAGCTCATTATTTTGGGATTCTCTGGTTTAAGCAGATGTCAGTTCTTAATTTCCTTTTTATAAAATGGGAATTGCTTTCAGCCCAGCTCAGCAAATATTTGTTGTACTCCATTGATAGCGGGGAAAAAATTTCATTAATTTCAGTGAGCTTGTGTTCTGGTTGTCTTCATTGTTTAACTGAAATTCTTTGATTGCTTTATATTGATGGTTTAAAAACCCTCAACAAAGACAAAGAAATATCTTCTAAATGATTGTGAAAGTACATATTAAGAAATTGCTATAAGATTCCTGTGTTTGAAAATGTCAAAGTTCAAGGCATTTATCCATGAAATCACAAATTGGTGACTTCTAATCCAGTGTCTGTTACTGTATAAAATTTCTAAAGAGTCTGATTTTAATCTAGGTGGAACTGAAAACTGCAAAGAAAGCCTGGGAAGTCCAGCACATGAAGAAGTTAAAGGAAAGAGAGCAAAAAATGCTTTGGGAGGATGAAGAGGAACTTCTAACCTACACTCGAGAGGATGCGTACAACAAAGTAATTGCTCATTAGTCTTCTTTTTCTAAATAGTTGTTTCTTAACAGATACTCTGAGCATACCTTTACCCTTCAGGTTTCAGCTGGATCATCTGAATTATGTTCTCTTTTTGCTGTGTAGGAATATGTTTATGAAGGTCCAGATGGACAAACTGAAATTATGCCAGTAAGTAAAAGTAACACCTGTCAGCCTAAACAGGCTTTTTATTTTATGAAACATAAAGATTAGTGGGGAGTTAACATTGCAGTAATTACAAACTTTATTCTGTGCAGCTCTGGACTCCTCCTACTCCACCTCAGGATGACAATGATATCTACATAGATTCTGTTATGTGCCTGATGTATGATACCACCCCTATTCCAGAATCAAAATTGCCTCCAGTGTATGTCAGGAAGGAGCGTAAACGACACAAAACAGATCCCTCTGGTGAGTGCACGCTCAAAACTGTTCTAAGATTTATTGCTGAAAGTTTAAAAAATCCAGGGGAGTTTTTGTATCTTCTATATGTCTGGTCCAGTAAAGATCAAATTTGCATGTTTGAAGGGATGAAAATTCTTGTCTCCCCATGGCCTTGAAACAGTAGAATCATTGGAAGGCCCAATTCTTATAGTGTGTCTTTAGATACAAAGGTGTTCTTAAAAGGACAGTTCTGGAAAGCAGACATTCTACTTTGTCAGTTAGGACAGGGCTGGTCTTACTCTATAACAGGCTCTGTTCAGTTCTTGACTGCTTTTCAGTGGCAGTGGGGAATACCCTGAACATGTATCAGCATTTTGAAGCTGTAGGCAGAGGAATCAAAAAATGGCAGTATCTACCAATAATGCTTTATTTTTTGTCTTAGCAGCAGGTAGAAAGAAGAAGCAACGTCATGGGGAGACAGTTATCCCACCTCGTTCACTCTTTGATCGAGCAACTCCAGGAATGCTGAAAATGCGACGAGAGGGCAAAGAGCAAAAGAAAAACATCTTGTTGAAGCAACAGACACAGTTTGCAAAGCCTTTGCCAACTCTTGTCAAACCAGCTACTGAGGCTGGACAGGATAATCCAGAGTGGTTGATCAGCGAAGACTGGGCACTTCTGCAGGTCAGATGATACCTGTAGCTTCTGCTGTCATTATGTTTTTATTCCTGCACTTTATCTCTTCCAACGTTATTTCTAATTCTTAATGGCATTTTGCTGTCATAACTTGGAACAAATTACCTGTCATTTGTGCTCCTTTAAGGAGAAATTAAAGGCTAAACTACAAAATGTATTGTTAAGCCCTATTGTTGTTTTAGAAGCCACTTACTGTTATTCAGATTAGTTGTGCTGGCAGGACACTGGATAATGCAGCTAAGGTTCTTCCCACCTTCAAGGCGAGAGCAGCACTTAAATAGCAGCTCTCCGTCCCTCTCATACCAACTGTTTCCCTGCACATCAGTCAGCATTAAGGCACCTTATGCTTATTTATTCTCTGTGACTGTAGCTGAACACAGAGCCTTAGCCCTGAGCTGTCCCCTGTAGTAACGGTGTGTGGGCAGACACAGGTAAGGGAAGGTTTGGAGGATGGCAACGATTTGTCACCTGATGCATTTGTACTTTTCTCTGTTGCAGGCAGTGAAGCAGCTGCTGGAGCTTCCTTTAAACCTTGCTGTTGTGTCACCAGCACACACTCCCAACTGGGACCTGGTCAGTGATGTTGTTAACTCCTGCAGCAGAGTCTATCGCTCGCCCAAGCAGTGCCGCAGCCGATACGAGAATGTCATAATCCCACGGGAGGAAGGAAAGGTGAGTTCACCTGGAATGATGCGTCTTTTTTTTACCTTAAGTTGTAGAGTTTTTTTTCCTTATCTCCATAAACACTTGTTTTTTGTTAAACGTTTCAACAGTGTAAATAAATAACTTTTAAAAGATCTTTTTAAATTATTCTCATCAGGATTTCCACTTATTTTATGTGATTTCTTTGAAAAGAAAAAGCACCTGAACAAAATCTTCCACAAAAGATCATCTAACTTTCCTTCTTATTTTACAGCTAATGTACGAAGCTAATCCTAAAAAGAAGACAAAAAGTATTTATAAGGTGTGCATTGGTATTCTTTCAAAATCAAATCTAGACACTGTGGTATTTAGCAGCAATGGAGGTGGGCAGATAATTCATATGAGATCCATGTTGAGTGTTACTTGAGTTCTGAAACATTAATTAAAATTCCAAATTTATTTTTCCTTTCTTTGTTGATACAGTGGATTGACACCAGACTTCAGCTTTTGGATTTGATAGATAAATTTTAGATCATGCAAGAAGTTTGTGATTTCACTTAAACTGCCACTTAGGTGGCATTTTTCCACCAAACCACCACCATGTATCTTATCCTGATGGTATTTAAGATCTGTAAGAATGAACTTCATGCTAGAGTCTAAGTGGATTACAAATACATAGTGAATTTGATGCCTGAAACACCTTGTAGTAAATGAGGATGATAGGATGCTACAGAAACAAACACAAATTCCATGACTGTGAACACCTTCTTCCAAACCACACAGCAATTTAGCGACAGAGTTGGGTAGAGAATCCAGAACTTCTGGGTGTAGTCCCATTCTCTGACTGCTAAGGAGGTTTGTCCCTGACTGGCAGTTTCTGCTTAGGAGAAACCAAATGTTAGACTGGCATGGTGTGTGGATGTTAACCTAGCTTTGTTGGGAGAGCAGTGCAGTGATGGTTTTGTTTTATTATCTTACGTGTGCGCTATGCATAACTATAAACTAATGGGCTCTTGGTTTGGGTAATGAATTAAACTTGCAAAATCTAAACTAAAGCAAAGATTCTTTCTCAAATTAGAGTTTGCCATTTTGTATGTCCCCAAGTGCTGATGCCAGTGTGACCGTGAGAACTGCTCCTTATTTTGCTGTTTCTTTATATATTTCCCATAGAGTTTTGTGTGACAGTAAGTTATCAGTGACACGAGGCAGGAACCAGTCTGTGATAGATATGTTGGAGAGTGCTTTTAAATAATCTACGAGCGCGCCTTGTGTTTAAACATAGACAAAATGCCCTGTTGGGTGAGTGTGCAATTGAAAGTTGGTTTGTTTTCTTTTTTTAGACTAAAAACAGTCGCCCACTTCGTACCAATCAGATCTATGCTCAAGATGAGGGTGCAACCCACACACAGCTTTATACTAATCATTTTGAGATGATGAAAATGATTGCAGGGAAAAGAAGTCCACCTATCAAACCTCTGTAAGTTTACCTGGGATCATTTCATCTCCTGGAAGCTCTGTTTTGAATGGCTCTCAAAACACAGTTATTCTACACTCTGTGTCCCTGTTCTTGATCTCTCTCTCTGTGTTCTTTGTTACTAGAAACACCTCCATATTTCATGTGTTTGGGTTTCACTGCAGGAATTAGCTCTTTGTCATTAAGAGCAGAACTGCACTCAGTAGTGGCTTTTTTAATCTACTTTATATCTATCCATTTGCCTGGATTGTAAACAATTTGCTGTCTATGCTGCTTAGTAGTACATTATTTTCTGTGTATCTTCCTGCAGTTCTTCTGTATTTATTTAGTATTTACTCTGAGTCTTCCTTAAATGTCTGTCTGTATGCAGGCTCCAGTACTGGCAGGAATATCATGGAAACTTCACCAAAACTGCAGTGCTATATGCTGAAATATGTGAAATGAAATACTGTTTTTAAGGTTTTTTCTGCCTCCAGTAATACAATTTTGCTCAATTTCAGACTTGGCATGAATCCTTTCCAGAAGAATCCAAAGCATGCATCAGTGCTTGCAGAAAGGTGAGCACTCCCTGTCTTGAAGGAGTTATAAATTGCATAAAAGTGCTCACTGCTCTTTTGTTAAGGTTTCATTTATTTCTAAATATTGTGTGTTTTGTCTTATTATTGTTTCTAGTGGAATCAACTATGATAAGCCCCTCCCTCCGATCCAAGTCGCATCCCTCCGAGCAGAGCGCATTGCCAAAGAGAAAAAGGTATGGTTCCATCTCTGCTGCACAAATAACTGCAGTATTTAAAAAATTAGGCAACAGATGAGGTAGGAGCAAAGCTGTCTCCTGGGAGAAGTTTAACAGTACACTGGATGTTATGAGCAGCTGCACATTGTTCATGTACAGGGGTTTAGATAACCAAGGCCCAAAGTGGGACCTTTCCTTGGGCTTCTTGTCATACTCAGACCCTTTAAACAATGAGGAGCATATTTTTTCAAAAGATACTAAAATGTGTAAAAATCCTGTTTAATTTTTGAGCATTCTGTAACCTCCTTTCTTATATTATTCAGAAAGAACTGTTTGTCCTTGCTTGTGGGTGATAAGTCTCTTGTTGTGCTATGCTCTAAGCCATAAAACCATGAATACAGCTTGTAGTTTGAAGTGAGTCAAGTTGTGTAACTTGGACTTGAAGAGTCAAGGTACCTTTGTGGGCTGTCTCTGGTCAGAATTAAAGAGGTTTTATCTCTTGCTTTATTTTGTTTAAAAGAAAACACATCTTGCTTGTTCCATGCTTGAAGATTGAATGTGCCCCTTGCCTTGCAGGCGCTGGCGGAGCAGCAGAGGGCCCAGCAGCAGACGGGCCCCCAGCCCCAGCAGCCCCAGGCGGGCCAGCAGCCCCCCCAGCAGCCCCCCGTGCAGCAGGCCCAGGCCCAGCCACAGCCACAGCCACAGGCACAGGTAGTTCAGCAGCCACAGGCAGTGGTGCAGACTGCAGTCACTACTGTGGCCAACACAGCAGTATTGGTAAGAAAGGGAGAGCTCGGTGTCTCTGATGTAGTAACTTCAGTTCTTCTGTGTGTGCTGTATTTGTGTCCTGTTTTCTCTGGAAAGAGAATTTTAAGTCAGTATAGTGAGATCAGAGATACTTCTTGTTTGCTTTCTCTGGTTATGCTGGGTATCTTTTGGTTCCCTGATTTATTAAAACTTCATACCATTGTAGACAATAGCTCTTGGCATTCTGAGGTAGAAAAACACCGTGCAAAGATGGTATTTCCTTTTTCACTTTTGACTTCCATTTAATGAATTTTGAGTGAGTAGATGTCAACTAGAAGTATTTGTACAGAGAACTGGCAGAATACAGAGAGTAGAAGAGAATGTAGCTGTAAGAACTACTCAGTTAATCGGCTTAAAAACCAAAGATTCATTAAATTTGCAAGGCAAGTGAAGTGATGCATCCTACAGGAAATACCATGGTGCTTTTACTGCAAATTTGTGCAAGGTTCTCATGTTTTCCTAAATCTAGTCTGAATGAATCTGATGACTGGTCTGTGGCTTTTGTATTTAGAGCCAATCCAGTTTGTGTAATAATGTGTGCAGGCAGTGGTGGATTTATTTTGCTTGTTGAAGAGCAAGAGTACAAGAGCTTTTCCAGAAAGACACAGAGGATGTGTTCTCACCCACAAGCATTGCTGTGTATGAAGTGCTCAGTGATTTTCCTGTATGAATGGTTGTCTGTGGTGTGCCAGAGTAAGGTATTGATCCCTTCTGCTAACAGGGATGTCCAGTGACCAGGGTTTACCACACACTTGGCTGGTCTACAGTGGCTCATAAGTGAGGCAGAATCCTGATACATGTATGCATTAGTTGCTGTGATCTGTAGGGTCAATGGACAACTGCAGAAATCTCTGTGTGTTCCATTGCATTTTTCCTATTTTGTCACTTCTGGAATACAGCATTGTTTTAAGCAATGCTCAGTTTTCTTTTATTGTTTTTCTGAACTGTTACCTTAACTGTCTTCTAATTAGGCAGGCACCATCAAAACAGCAGTGACGGGGACGAGCATCCAGACTGGTAAGGAGACTTTATAATTGGGCATAGGAGGGGATGAGATACTGGGATTTTCACTTTCAGAATCTCACATTTAATCCTGCTTTCAGCTACAGTGAGTGGAAATGTGATCGTGAACACTGTTGCTGGGGTCCCTGCTGCTACCTTCCAGCCCATCAATAAGCGTCTGGCCTCACCTGTTATACCTGGGACGCTGACTGTGAGTAGATCCTGTCACTAGTTGTGTCCCTGGACACCTGGGTTGCGTGTTTTATCAGCATATCTTTAGCTTTTAACATGTTGTGAGAAATCCTGCTTCTTGAAAATGTCATGTGCATCTTGGAGTTCTTTTTCAAACCTCTCTCACCAAAACATCGGAACACACTGGAATGGTTCATCAGGAAAAAATGTTTAATGCTGGTAAAAATAGTTCATAGGCAAGTGCTGCTAAGAGTATTAGTCATTAACATTTTCAGCCTGTAACTGTTTTGTGCTTTATTAATTACGATCTTTATTATTATGTTAATGGTTTAATACTATGGAATATAAAGCAAAATATTGAAAGGTACTAAAAAATGTCTGTAATAGAGCGAAGGGTTTGGTGATCAGTGTGTTGGAAAAAGATATAACCACATGCTGATTTTCAGATGCATCCAAACAGATGCATTAGACAGATTATTTGGGGCTTTTTTCCTTCTGCATTTTTCATGCTTGTTTTTAAAATTGCCTAGAGGGCAGTGCCACGTCCAGCAGGTTCCATAGCTGTATGTGAGGCGTGGGAACGGAGCAGTGATGGCTGTGTTCCCTTGCAGACCTCGGGAGGCACCGCCACTGCCCAGGTGGTTCACAGCCAGCCCCGAGCGGCCGCGGCGCCGGCGGCGTCCAGCGAGCTGGTGACCATCGCCTCCACCCAGGGCGTGCGTGCTGTGACCTCAGTGACAGCTTCAGCTGTGGTCACCACCAACCTCACGCCTGTGCAGACCCAGACAAGGTCTCTGGTGACCCAGGTTACACCAGGTAATGATCCTGTGTTCAGGGACTTCTTCCAGCAGTGCATAAAGGGCCCCAGAATTCCTATAGATCCAGCACCAAAGGCTCAAAATATAGGAAGTCTGGGACACAATTAAAATAGGCTGTGATTTTTAACTTGCTTTCTTGTTGGTGCTCAGATTACATTTTTCTCCAGTATTTCTGGATGAAGTATGGCAATAGAGAGCTTGGCCCCTAGGCATTGCAATTTAAAAGTATTATGAACAATCTAGCAGTAAAACATTAGAATTGATTGTCTTGACTAAAAACCATTGTGAAGAAAGGTGCTTGTATTTTATGATCTACTCTGCTTTTACATCATGCTCATGAAAATGTGTTCTTACATGTAGTAAATCCACAAAGTGTGCTGGAGCAGAAAAATAAGCATTTAACAGCTTGACTTGTCAGGTGAAATGAATGAATTTAACTGAATCTTAAAAAGTATTCATCTGAACATTTTGTTTTTTTCTTTATTCACAGCTACACCAACTGTCCAGCTGTCAGGCAAAACCATCACCCCTGCTCACTTCCAGCTTCTGAGGCAACAGCAGCAGCAGGCTGCTCAAGTGCAAGTCCCACAGATCCAGGCTCAGGCGCAAGCCCAGTCTCCAGCTCAAATAAAAACTGTAGGAAAATTGTCACAGGTGAGGAAATGCTCATGAAGTGTTAGCACATAACGTAGCACATTGCTCTCATTACTGTAAGCTTCCTTAGCAGTGTGTGTTGTGTCCTGTTTTCTTGGGCTAGAGTGAGATGTATTTCTCTCTTAAATTTCATCCTACTAAAATTTCATGCAGGCAGTGAGTCTGACAGTGCTTTCAATAGTAGAGCAGGGCAGGATGGAAAGCATTTATTGTTGCTCATTGGAAGCCATTGTGTAAAAGAGTTACATTTTAGATACTCGATCTTAGCTCTAGTCTGGTACAGAATGTTTCTCCTTTTAAGCTTTGGATTCACCTCCATTTTTCTCCTGTAACATAAACCATTGGAAATGATGGAAGTGTTTGATTTTTGCAGGAGCAGCTGATCAAGTTGCAGAAGCAGAAGCTGCAGCTCCCGCAGCAGCAGGCAGCACAGCAGACACAGCAAGGGGCACAGCAGCAAACAGCACAAGTGCAAGTGCAGCAGCAGCAGCAAACTCAGCAGCTCACTGCTGTGACAGCCCCTCGTCCTGGCGCAGTGCTCACGGGCACTACGGTCACCAACCTGCAAGTGGCACGCCTGGTGAGTTGGATTTGGCTTGGCAAGGTCTCAAACATTTCACTCTTGGCTGGTTTAAATGAACTGGGCCTTGATTATTCACATTCACAAGTGCCCTTTGCATTGCTCTGGCAGTTCAGAAGGAACTGCTGTAACATAAATAGCTTTACATTGTACTTACCCATTGATACCATCTCTGAATTGTGTCACTGTACAGGAGCCATTACATTTAGAAATGTCATTTTATTGACATTGTCATTTTATAATCATCTGTTATATGCAGCAAATCTGTCTGTGCTGGTACAATAATCTTCATTCCTTACTGCTTAGACTCGTGTTCCTGCTTCCCAGCTCCAAGCACAAGGACAGATCCAGGCCCAGACTCCACAGGCAGCACAGGTTGCTCTGGCCAAGCCTCCAGTGGTGTCTGTTCCAGCTGCTGTTGTGTCATCTGCAGGAGTCACCACACTCCCTGTGACTGTTGCAGGCATTAGTGTTGCCATTGGGCAGCCACAGAAAGCAGCAGGTATGTGAATGCAAGTTGGAAATAGGAAGAATTGTATTTCATAGCAATCTCCTATAGTACAGACAATTCTTGTAGAAAGATTGTTGTTGGAACAAAAAGTTAGCTTACTCATGCCCTTAGATAAGAAATTTTCTCCACTGTCAAAATCATGTCTTATTCCCATTAAAATCAGTGGGTTGTTAGTGCTCAAAGCTGTGCAGATAAGTCTGTAAAAGTAGAATCTGTGTTTGCAAGCTGTGATTACTGAGACAAAGCGATAAACTGAAGACTCTTACAGTTCTAATTATTTGTGTAATTTTCAGGAGGCCAGACAGTAGTTGCACAGCCACTGCATGTCCAGCAGCTGCTAAAACTCAAGCACCACCAAGCAGCACAGCAGCAGAAAGCCATCCAGCCCCAGGTTGCACAGGGACAAGCAACTGTGCAGCAAAAGGTACTATTGTCTGCTCTCCCATATTAACTTATGCAGTGGTTGTAAAGCTTTGGTTCTGGATGACCAGGACACTCCTAGAGAGTCAGTCAGGATTTCTAGGGGTGAATCTTAGGTGTAAAGCGATTGGTTGTTTGGTAGTTTTTAGTAAGTGTATGGTGTGAGTGTTGTGTGTAAGAGAGAAACTTTTCATTAAATACTTTAATTCTGAATACTTGTGTAAATGCATGAAGGCTTTCATCTAGTGCTCAATTTTTTATTGCTAATCATGGGAGATTTTTTTTTTCCATAATTAAATGTAATTAATCTTTTTTCTACATACCTGATCTTTAAAATACACTTATCTTTTGTAGTCATTGACACCTTTTTTTCTCTTGTGCAGATAAATGCTCAACAGGTTACGGTCCAGACCCAACAGCAGACTTCACAGCAGCAAAAAGTAACTTATGCTACACAGCCTGCCATTAAAACACAGTTCCTAACAACTCCAATTTCCCAAACCCAGAAACCAGGTGGAACCCAGCAAGTGCAGGCCCAGATTCAGGTACAGGTAACACAGGTTTACACCTCTAAACTGTACTGGGACTGGAAAATTGTAAAGACAACAGGTGAGGTAGAATTCAGCACACATTCATTTTAATTCTAGTCACACATTCATTTAAATTGACTTTTTAGTAAAATTCACTGGTGCTGAATATGTGGCCTTACAGCAGGTCAGAGCATCTATGAGCTGCAAGTTCACCTTTCCTCTTTGAAGTAAAATAATTGAGTCACTCTTTTTTATTAGGCAAGGGATTCCATACTGTGTTTACTAAGGAAAATTCAGCCAGAGGTTTCCTGCTTTAGGTGCTGCCTCACAGCCTAATCTGGTGAGGTGACAACTCACATATTTTCTTTTCTGCATAACTGGATCAGTCTAACCAAGGAAAAAAAAAGGGGGTTAGGAATTGGAAGCCTTACTCTTTCAAAAATATATCCCAGATAATGTAACCTGCTCAAACTTATGTGCTTCCTTCAATTTTATAGGTAGGCAGGAGGAAATTACTCTGTTGTAGTTAAAATTGAAAAGGTTTCTCTTCCTCCCCTAGTTAAGTTCTTCCTTTCAGGGATCTAAAATGTTTCATAAACATTCAGCCTCACTGGAAATGTCAAGCTGTAGCTTACTGTGAACAGGCTTTGGAAAGGCCTTGGTAGAAGTTTTGCTAAATGTGGTGTTTTGCTGCTATCAGCAGCTTTTTATTTTGATCTTTCTTTATTTCATATCACTGCAGGTTGCAAAACTCCCCCAAGTGGTCCAGCAACAGGCTACTGTTGCCAACATTCAGCAGATGGTTTCAGTTTCCCAACAGGTAGGTTTTACTCTTGTCAAACATAGCACTAGAAACATGATCTTTAGAAAAGCTCATTTTTTGGGAATGTCTGTATTTTTCACCTTATGTGTGGCATAGGTAGTATTTTTGAAGGCTATAGCAAGTGCCTTTCTATAAAAATAAGCCTTGAATATTGAATCAGCTGAGGTGTATTCTCTGGTCTAAAACTCTCATAGATGTAGCAGTGTTTGTTCATCACTGCAGGTAAGCTGAAAAATGGATTTTTAAAAATGTTTTCTAGAACTGAAAGAATTTTTAAAATTTTTTTTTTTTTTGTGATGTATAGTTAATTTAGCAAATAATTGAACTAATAAGCACCATCTGAGCTTTTTCCACAAAAATTAGGACAAATTGAAGGTTACAAGTTGTTTTGTTTCAGTTCATAGAGCTGTGCCAAGTGCTCTGTAAAAGGCAGAACGGTGTGGTAGCTGTTCCAAATGTGTGCTGGTAACAGACGGGGCTCAGGCAGGAGAAAGTCAGGTGGTTTGGTTCCCCCTAATGACCAGGCAGTTTAATTAACACTGTTTAGAACAATGTCATCCAGATCATTAGCAACAGGCATATCTTAGGCAGTTGATTGGCAGGAATGATTTAACTTTGGAGGGTGGATGAACTTCTTGCATTTAGTGCACAAAAATCTAGGCAATCGACTCTTAATCTGCCACAGTTTAGAGTGCAGTGTTTTAGTGGAGAATAAGATCTGTGACTGTTTATCTCAAAATGGTGATAAAGTGGTGTAAGCTGTCTGATAACCACCTCAGATGTGAATGCTTCAAGGGCAAAGTAGACAGCAGGAACCAGAAAACTCATCAGTCAACACAAGTTGAGTTGCCCTCTGTAGTCAGGAAGAGCTCCTAGATCATTTTCAGAAGTCGTCAGTGGTGGCATAACTCTGGGACTGTTGGAGTCTGTGGCAAAAAGACAAATAGTTCCCCTCCCGTGTACACCAGGGACTTCAGTGGCAGTAGTTTTAGGCCAGGATAAGTATTTTTAAAACTTTGGTCTTTGTGTGTATGTGGCATTCTTTTTATCTGCATTTTTAGTGCTTCCCATTGGAATCCTTTTGGATCATTCAGGAGTTAATTTTTCCCCTGGAGAAGTTCTTGTAGCTTTGTTTGGCTTCTGCATCTGACAAAGGCAGCTGAAGCTGTTCAGTTTTCATTACCTTGTCCTCTGAACAAGGAGTTGTTGATTTATTTTTTTTTCTCCCTTGCTCTGGGTAGAGCTATGAAAATTAGATGTCTGGATGGAGTTCAAACTATTCTGTCCTAAATTGGCAATAGAGACTGGCAGCTGTAGTCTGAAAGGGTAATGGCAGAGACTGGTGGGAAGCCTCAGTGGCTGTATTTATTGTCACAATATGGGTGCAGAGTCCGCATTTTAACCTCTTTAGTCCTCTGGCTGTCCCTCTGTTCTTTTCCCTGCTCCTTCACTTCTGCAGTACAGGAATTTTCCTGTATATCTGGTATTTTCATGTATATCTTCTATACCTTTCATCTGCCTTCTGAATGCATCTGAGGGCATGTCCTTGTATTTGCACTGCAGGGACCTGAGTTACAGGCGTCTTGGCTCTTAGTTCTGACTTATAAGGTTCTAGAAAATGTGATAGAATGGTGGTTCTCAGTGAAAGCACAGAGCTTATGTTCCCAGAATCATTGTCTGAGATGTTTGTCAATTAAGAGAGCAAATACCTAAGTAGGAGGATTCCTTCTGTAGAACAGAAATGTTATGACTGCTCAGTTTAATGCTAAACTATTTTGTAATTGCCTTTTCATCCTGATGTGTAGGTACAAGCTCAGCCCCAAACTGTGACCCTTTCTCAGACGACAGCGGGTCAACAGCAGGTTCAGGTGATCCCTGCAACCACTGCTACTGCTCAGGTCGTGCAGCAGAAGCTGATCCAGCAGCAGGTCGTGACCACAGCATCTCCCCAGGTTCAGGCTCCGGGTGTACAGAACCCAGCCCAGACACCAGCAACACCTGAAGCCCAGAGTCAGCAAGCAAAAGTACAGATGAGGACACCGACTGTCAGATTAAAGGCACCTACCAAACCAAGTTGAACTGTTGCAATAACAGGGAAATACAGTATTTTGCATTTGCTGAGACAAGTGAGAAGCTACTCCAAACACCCAAATGAAGACAGAACACCTCTATTTTTTTTTATTTTTTTTTTTTTGTAGCAGAAGGTTTCTTGCTGGTGAACATTTAAACATGGAAACTCACATTAACTTGTGCATTAGCAACTGTTTAGCACTCAAATTCTGTACAATATGCATTCTGCCTGTGTTCTCTGTGCTCATTCAAACCAGATAAAGCAAGCGTTACTTAGGTTGAAATTCTGCCCAGCTTCTCAAAAGTGAAATGGTGATCTGCCATAATTGTCAGTAAAATCCATCTGTGTTGGAATACCACACCTGTCTGTGGGAACGTGCAGCTCCTTGCTGTAGTTTTGTGTGTGCTCAGTACCCACGTTGAAGCCACACAAAGAACCAGCTGTGGTTGATACAGCACAGTATTTTCCATCTGTACAAAAGCTCTGTGTTGTTCTTCCCTGTGGTAAATGCCCCTGGAAGATAGAACACAGACTTGAAGTGCTCCCTGCAAAGTTTAGCCAATAAATGTGAAAACCTGTAAGTATATGTAATTAAAAAGGAAAAAAAAAAAAAAAGGGTTTCATTCTCCATTTTTGTAAGTCTTTTAAAATGTTTGTTAGTAGTTTTTGTGTACAGTTTACTGAATCACCCAACCTGTGTGCTCATTCTCATATTTCACTTTAAAATAATGGATATTTTAGGCATGAGCTGAGTAAATACTGTGTTGATAGTAGATGTGTATTAAAGTGTAGCCCATTTTTTTTTTTTTTGTAAAAGAATTGTTCAGTAGATACAGCTACACAGATGATCCACGGCTGTTTCTCATGGGACTTCTGTCACGAAAAATCTCCAGCTGATAAAATCTAATCTCTCTGTTTCATTCTGCTCTTGCAACATGTTTAAATGTTCAGTACTTTTTACACGGCTTTCAGCTTGGGGGGTGGGGGGCCGGGGGAAGGGGAGAATAGTGAAATTAAATCTAAGACTTAATTCTTCAACTGTGTAAAGAGTAAGATCTAACTTTTGTACTATTCTTTTACTAAAGCTAACGATGAATGTATCTTCAGGTGGGTATTTTGGATGTGAATAGAGCATGGCCTCTTCCTCCAAATCAGTTTGCCTTATTGTGGAGAAAAAAAAAAGCAAAAAGCTGCATAGAACTGTGGGGGGGTTCTTTACTTTTCTTGCATACAATGAATGACAGACTTTGCAAACAGCACTGAGGAATCAAAAAGCCCATGGTGGCTTGAAGGGATTTATTTTACTTTGGCCATAAAACTGCACAATGTGTAAAATCCAGACAAAATGACAACATTCCTTTTCTGAGGTGGTTTTAAAATTATTTTTCCATTCTGTGATCTTTTTACTCTTTTAGGAAGGGAGCCTGTTTAAGGGCAAGGAAAGCATATATTTTGTTTTTACCTCTGTATGTCCACACTTGTTGGTACCTGGCAATCCACATGGCTTAAACAAGAAAGAATTCTCAGCCAGCTCCTCTGTGTTAGTTGGGTTAGGTACAGCCAGTTCTGTTCAGATCACAAATGTAAACATTGGCTCAGGCGGTGTTCCTGATTTTTTTATTTTATACCTCTTTTGTCCTACCTTTTTTCTTGGACCCTCAGGTCTACAAATACAAGGGCATTTTGTTGTTTTTTTTTTTAAGCTGTTTTTGCATGCAGTAGTATTCCCATGACCCTTCTGACCCCTGGCATGTGCCATCCCCTAAACTTCACAGCCAGCCAGGGAGCTGGCATTGCTGACAGCGGAGTAGTTTAAAATGTAAAGCAGATGCAGTGGTAATGGGTAGTGACACTGTGTACAGTATAGCCTTACTCATCCAAAAATATTGCTTAGTTAGCCCCAGTTTTACTTTTAAGTGTTTAGCTTTTATGATGTGCATGAAAGTCAGGGTGGGGGGGAACAGTTCCAGCAGTGGGAGAGCTGCTGGCTACGTCGTTGTGCTGGTCTGATTTGGTGTCTAAAGAGGCGATTGTTTCTTGTTTAGGTCAGTTGATGAAGATAAAGTCACCATCTTTTTTTTTTTTTGTTTGTTTCCTTCTAATTATTTTTTTTCTTCCTTTCGATGTGTCTTTCTCCCAGGAGTGTGTTAGGAAGTCAACCTGTACATAAGTGATGAACATTTGTACTCGACCCAGTAGGATGATAAGGAATAGTGCTGTATCCTACCTGAAGGTGTAATAAAGTGTACATTTTTCTACCGCCGCCTCGCTCTGCCTTCTGTACCGGGGGAAGAGGGCGGCTTGGGGGGTTACTGGGAGGTGCTGGCTGGGAGGACGGACCCGTCCCCATCCCTGATCCCCATCCCTGATCCCCATCCCGATCTCCATCCCTGATCCCCATCCCTGATCCCCATCCCCATCCCTGATCCCCATCCCTGATCCCCATCCCCATCCCTGATCCCCATCCCTGATCCCCATCCCGATCTCCATCCCTGATCCCCATCCCTGATCCCCATCCCCATCCCTGATCCCCATCCCTGATCCCCATCCCCATCCCTGATCCCCATCCCTGATCCCCATCCCCATCCCTGATCTCCATCCCTGATCCCCATCCCGATCTCCATCCCTGATCCCCATCCCGATCCCCATCCCCGCCCCGCTGCCGGCCCTGCTGCGGGCGGAGCGGCCGCGGCTCCTCCTCTCTCTCCTCCTGCTCCTCCTCCCGTGTCCTCCCCGGCGAGCATGGCGCGGGAGGCCGCGCTCGCCGCCTGCCTGGAGGCCGTGCTGGGGAGCCGCTCCAGCGCCAACCGGGTCTTCGAGCTCCTGGAGCCGCTGGTGGTGCGGGCCGGGCCGGGGGAGCGGGCTGAGGGACCCTGGAGCCGCTGGTGGTGCGGGCCGGGCCGGGCCGGGCCGGGCGGGGGGAGCGGGCTGAGGGACGGCAGCGCGGCAGGGCCGCTGCTCTGACACGCTGTTCCCCAGGGCCAGGAGGAGCCGGAGGACATCGTGAGCGCCGCCAGGAGCTGCAGCCGGCTGTTCGGGGCGCTGCTGGAGCGGCGGGAGCTGTTCGTGGGGCCGCTGCCCGAGCAGGACGCCTCTCTGGCCGGTGAGCGCGGAGCGGGGCCCCGCGGCGCTGGTCGGGCCAGGCGCGGCCCTGCCCGAGCCCAGCCTGGCTGTGTGTCTGTCCCTCACAGAGAGCTACAGCGCCGAGGACAAGTACAGGATATGGATGAGGCACCGCTACAGGGACTGCGTGGGCTGCCTCGGGGAGCTCATGGGGCACGACTCCTTCCAGGTCAAGGTAGGTCCTGGGCCCGCTGCTGACCCACGGTTCTCGGGGGGTCCCTTGAGGTTCTCACCCAATATTTCAGTGTGGGAGGGCAGGCAGTGCTGTAAGACAGCACTGATGCTCTGACTCTGCTCACCAGCAGCGAGCATGCAGCTTTCACAGGAAATAATATCTCATTCTTTCTCCTCTTGAAAGTTGCTTCCTTTGGGTTTCACCCCTGGTGTGCTTGTTTAGGCGTTTTTTTTATGATGGTCCCTTCTTTTTTTTAAAGGAGTTGGCGCTCTGCACGCTCATGAAGTTTGTTGAATTGGAGGCACAATATCCATTGATCAAAATAGAGTGGAAGGGAACTTTAACTTTTCCATATGATCTTCTTAAGGTAAGATGCAGATGTGGAAAGTCCCTCCTGTCAGTGACCTGGTGGCACATGAACTCGTGTGCCCTCAGCTGCCTCTCTGCTCCTGTGCTGTAAGAGACTGACTTGTTGCTTTGCTTTCCAAACCCTTTGTTAGGTAGTTGTTGATGGTTTGCTGCCCACCGAGGAGGATGCCTCGCTGCTGATCTCCCGCTTTCAGGAGTACATGGAGTACGACGACGTGCGGTACTTTGTCATGAAGGCTGTCACTGCCAGCATCTTGCAGGTCATGCAAAAGACAAAGGAGGTAAGAAATTGTTACTGCTTAGGTGGCTCTGGATGAGCTGCTCTGGGTTGTGTGTGAAGCAGGGAGAAATTAGTGATACATGGAAATATTTGGAAGCCAGAGAAATGAGTGTGCCCACTGAAGGCATTGATTGTTTTTTCTTATCTGTGTCAGTATGCCAAGACTGGCTTTACTCTGAAATTGAAAGTATTTCAAGACACATACTGTTCTTTCTGGTGCAGGCTCTAGCTTCTGTTTTACCCAAATCTCCACAGCTTGGGTGATACACAAAGAACTTTTAATTCTGTTTACTTGGCTGCAGAGGAAGAATCTGTTTCCTTCATTGGATTCACCAGTTTTGTTAAACCAAAATAAGTACAGAGGTTTCGTGTTGGATAAACAAGTAGGACTCTAGGTTGAGGCTGCAACAGAGAATATACCAGTGTGTAGTTTAGTCATCAACATTTTCCCTTTCTCTTTCCTAAATATATTCAGTACTTGGAAACAGGGCAACATTGAAGCCCAGCATCTTGCTGTCTGATGTGGAACTTGCTTCATGTTTGTTTTTTATGCTTTTTTCCTCAGAGGCCCCTGCCTTTTTACCAGCAGAATGTCTTTTCTCTCATCTCACCCATTAACATGCCAAACAAAGAGTCTGAGATGGTCAAATTTATGGTCAAGCAAGGTTGGTAAACTCTGCATGATGAACTGCATGTGAAAAGGAGAATCAGGTTTAAGATTTTTAGTGTGTAAGACCTTATTATTGTTTGTTGATTAAGAATATCTGCTTCTTTGATCACTGTGATTCTAAACAGTCTTAAAAATCCATATTCCTCAGTCTACAGGGGGGTCTGTTATGGCCTTGTATCAAATTAAATACTTCAGCCCAAGAGTTTAGAGTATCAAAGGGCTAAGTTAAAAAGGATCATCTTAATTTTTTGAATATCCATTTCAAGTTCAACATCTGTTTTCCCCTTTTTCTTAGATAACCGTGAGGAGTTGAAACTTTCAAAGCTGCAGGTAACTGTTCATTTGGTGCATTAGAATCGAAATTTTATCTGCTTAAAATAGAGCATTATCTGTACCAGTGTGTTTAACTCACTGTTTGCAATTCTGTTTTAAGGCACACAAACAGATGTTTCAAAAAATGTGGCTGACTTTTTTGAAGCACAAGGTGAGTGTTACTTCTGCCACTGATCTGCATTGCTCTTTAATTTAAGGATTGCTGATCCTTAGCAATTGTGTCTAGCCTTGCACAAAGCTGCTGGTAGGACCCCAGTATGGTTTGAGTGTTGGGTGGGAACAGCCCAGTGACCATTTCTGTTGGATCACTCTGGCAAGAAACATGACCTCATATATGGCCTGCTTTTTCTCCTTACTCTCAGCCTTTTTTCCCTAACTTAAACATCTCTGCCCATCAAGGTGATCTGCAGCATAGCAATCTCTGCTCACAAGCTGAAGCTTCCCCAGCCTTTTTCCTGGTGTTTTTCCCCATCTGGGTGCTTAGTTGTGAGCACCTGCTTCTTGAGTGAACTTCATTGGTGTCACTTGTAAACTGTCCCATTTGGGAACTGCTGCTGCAAGTTCTGTATTTTCCTGGCACATTCCCTTCTGCTTGTGCATTGCCCTTTTGAGCCACAGGTTGCTGCTGCAGTCTGTGTTCTTCCTGCAGTGCTTGTTTCTCTGTGTTGTTTTGTCCTTCACAGCTGCCCACTGGCCTTTACAAAAAGGTTCTTGTCATTCTGCACGACTCTGTCCTGCCTTACATGAATGAGCCCACTCTCATGATGGACTTCTTGACAGTGGCCTATGGCATAGGTGAGTGAGAATGGTCCTTTATCCTTTGTGGCACCTCCAGCATGGGACAGATGGACTTGGAAGCTCTGCTGGATGCAGCACCACGACCTGGGTGATGGAATAGGTCTACTTCTGGCTGGGATGGAGCTAAGGAACTAGGGTCATCTCCATCATCCCTGAAAGGGAGAAGATTTTACCTGCGTTTGTAAATGTCATTGCTCCTTTTATGTAAGGAAAATCATATTTAATGCTTTGTGAAAGAGTAGAATACTGGAGTGATTTATTTTAAACAGAGAATTCAGACAGTGCTGCTGATCCAAACACAGGATCCACAGATTCTTGCAGAAATGTCCTTTCTGAGCAGACCTTTGCCTCCCCAGTGTGACTTTGTTTAGGAATTAGAGGAGCACATTTTTGTGTCTCAGTCATTGAACATTTGTTCTATTAAAATACAGCTTAATCTTTGTAAGAAACTTGGGAGCCTCTGGAAGGATGTAGATTAAATTGTTTCACCTTTCAGCCTTTCACTGGCTCTGATTTCAGGTATTGAGTTTTGTGTTCCTTCTGAGAAGATTTTATTATAGAAAAAACTTGAAGATTATTTTTTCTAGTTATTTCTATTGTGTTGATATCTGTCTGCTTTCTTACAGGTGGAGCAATCAGTCTTCTGGCCCTAAATGGGTTATTTATTCTGATTCATCAGCATAATCTGTAAGTAAAACAAGTATATTGTTTAAAGGAACATAGGTTTTTGCATTTATGTCTTTATGTAAGAGGAACTGAAATGGATTCACCACACCTTCAGGCTTTGAAATTCCCCCATGAGAAAGCCAAACTGCACAAGAGGCTCAGGCTGTTTAGATGCTGAACTTTTTTGGCTGTCTGATTTCTTTTACAACTGAGTACAAATATTCTCTTGACTGTGGTTGCTCAGCACTTAAAAATCGATTTCCATTGATCTGATTACAGAGTGAAGCCATAGTCTTTGGTGTCCCTTTCACTGCATCCTATACCATTTGCAGTCATTGGACATGGCTTCACACCCTGGAGATGGCTGGGCACTGCAGGACCTATAAATTCACCTTGCAGCTTGTTTTCAAGTGGTGACCGTAGAGGGAAGCCTAAGAGAGCTAAACAGAGCACAGCAGTGGGCTGGGGTGCTCTTAATGAAAACACAAAAACATTTAGACACAGTCCCTCTGTACACCACTAATGGATGTTTTATTTTTCCTTTTTTCTCAACAGGGAGTATCCTGACTTTTACAAAAAGCTTTACAGTCTGTTAGACCCTTCCATCTATCACGTGAAGTACCGAGCTCGCTTTTTCCACCTGACTGATCTGTTTTTGTCTTCATCGTAAGTAGCATCTTTATTATGTATGCTCACATATTTTCCTTCTGTTTTTCTGTTCTTGAACAGTCTCCCACACGTCTGGATTTAATGTATTCAGTGTGCCTGCTGGATTAGATACATTTTTATGGAGAAAGCTGAATCCAAGACTAT